GGGGGGGGGGGGGTGAAAAGATTCATTAACCGTAGCTGAGTTTAATTACACTTATTCGAAAGGTTCGATCGGTTATTTTTCCGAAAGCTAAGAAAAAAGTTTCCCCCACTGCGACGTTACCGACAGAACAATTACCATCTGCATCTTCGTACGTTTCGTCACACACGAGTCCCACTATTGAATGTCGTATATCGAAGCGAGTGAGTCAAAAAAAACCACGTGTAGCACCTATAGATTTTAACGTTAATTCGATTAATCGCAATTAACAAATATTCACTCTCTACGGACTTGGATCGGGTTAATAAGAAGCGTTCATAGCAACAAAAAACAAAGGAGGTAAGCAAGGAGGATGTATCGGTATTTGGGGTATAAACAGCGTCTGGCGTAACTGACATCACCGACCGTTGAAAGTACATGTACCGAATCGATTGACATTATCGATCTCCCAACAAAAATCGTCCATCGCGATCTGATCGATTAGAAAACTCGAACAGTTGGGTTTGAAAAAGATAACATTAATCGAAAAAAAAAAAAATACGACTAAGAATCAAAGATCGAGTAGTCGAGATTGACCAACGAATTTTGTTGCTACGCAATCTTCGTCTAAGGAACTTCCAATGGACACAGAGTGTGTTACAGAAAATAAGAAAAAAATAATTTTGTGTTTAAATATCGCGCGCAAACTTCAAATTATTATCGCGGCGAGAGCTCCGAGTCACGTGATCAAATTCTCGTCTCGTTTAATCTCGTTCTTGTATCCCAATTTGAAAATACCAAAATCACCGTTGCCGCACGCGTATATTTCAGCCAGAGTCCGCCACCTGAATGCCTCCCTTGCTTTCCCACGTGGTTAGTGCGCCGAAAACTCTCGTTAGACAGCAGAGGACAAACAAGAGCCATTTATTTTCATTCATACCGCCTCGAGAACTTTGGAAGGTGCGTTAAGTTGTGACAAGATTTGACAATGGATATTTCCTCTCGAGACAGTCTTTCAAAGACCATGGACACCGCCGAGTTCAAAAAACTATAACCAGACAGAACAAGCTGCGTCCTGTCGTATGTCCTTGGGCGTGATTTAAAAAAGAAATAACAACTCGAATCAATGCAATATTCTCGTTGCACCTTCGTTTTGTTGCATTTTACTATAGATTTTCAAATATCGCGTACCGCCGACTGAATTTCCTTTGTAAACAAAGGCTATAAATAAGACGGTCGTGTCGCGCCGATTGTGAAATTAGGCTGCAACCTGCACGCACTTTTGAAACCAAGACACACGATTGAAGCTAGTTGCACCGTATTGTGTGTTGAAAATCGTTAACTGAGATAATCTGAGAGTCGGGATGTCAGATCGTAGCTTTTTCACGATTGCAAGAAAGAACGAGAAATAACAGAGAAGGGGAAGAAAGAAAGTAAGAGAAACAAGGTGAAAAATAAAGGAACGGAGATACGAGAGAAATCAGAACATTTTCAGCGATCAGTAAACATCTGAGTGACGATAAACTTGAGAAAAATAAGAGAAGAGGCGAGTAAAACGGACAAAAATTGCAACTCATATGAGACAAGGGATGTACAAATATATACATAGATGTATATGGATATTGGGTGGAGAGTCTTTGAATTCTCAAGCAAATTTTACTTCCTATTTAGGATTTTAGCATAAACTAGAATAAAGAATCTCGAACATTCCTCTACGTCGCTTTGGGCTAAGAGGCGTATCTTAGATTACTTTTAAAATTAACCCCTTCAGTATCGATCGTATACAATTTTGCCGTGCAATTCTGTCTTTTCAATCTGTCAGTACTTTTAACAACCGAATAAAAGTACGTTACAGACACACAGATACGTAAGTCAGAAAGGAAAACGATTGAATGGAATTTTCGATAGTAAAAAAAATGAATGAAAAAAACAATCGTCACACTGTACAGAAAAAGTTGAGAACGCGTGCGAGACAGAGCTCAAACGATTCCGTGAAGCACAATTGAATGACATCTTGCACTCTCTTTTTTTCTATTTGGATCTAATTTTTTTCGTTTCGTAACACGTCCGAAAGAGGGACGACAGGCCTGATCTGAACGGGCTAATTGAATTCGATAAGACATTGGTCTAGCCTGAATGCGGATTTCGATAAAGCTAATCTGAGCCTAAAACTGGATGGAAACCAAGAGAAATCATAACTTACCGTAATAGTCGAATGCATGAGCTGAGGAGGGGAGGGAAAAAAATTGCACTTAGTTACAATTTGATATAAATAAGCTACGCTAATAAAATGCCTCCCTACACTCAGAGCATTGATCAAGTGCAAATCGTATCCGTTATCATGGAGACAAAAAAAAAAGTTTAAAAAAAAAAGGACTAGGGGCTTCCGTTTCGAATTCCCTCCAACAACAACGAAATTGACATTCAAAGAGCTCCAAGGAATTTTCAAAGAGAATACAAAAGTGAATTCAATTATCCGTTCGACTGGAAACCTAAAAACCAAACAGTCCGTAAGTGACGTGTACAAGATTTCTCGAAAGCCCCTTACGGACAAACATCGAACTGTCGTACGAAGGAGGTTAGGATACTACATCGACTAGCCGAACGGGTTCGCAAGGCTGTGTCAACAAAAAAAGAAAAAAAAAAAAAAACAAGGAAGGAAGCCAAAAATTCAAAACTCGAAAAATCATACGATACAAATACGCTGAATGTAGTTAGGTCGTGGAAGTTTTTTTTTTGTAACTCTTAATACTGTGTGTTGCGATGGTGCCTACGTATCAGAGGAAACGTACATATTCAAATTTACCGCCTACCGAGGACACAAATCTAGTCTCGATGACGATTACTTCATCAAGATAACAATAATAAAAGTGCGCGATCTGTGTCAGGATTCAATCCTTCAATCCCAGGAACAATCCTTCTTTCTCTTTCTCCCTCTCTCTTAATTTCTTCGTGTTTTCTTTTTTTTTTTTTTTTTTTTTTTTTTTTTTTTTTTTTTCTTAATCATCAAAAATATCGTACTCGGTTCAACCAGCGATTTTTTTGAAAACAAAAAAAGAAGAAAAAAATGTAATCACGGTCTTGCAGACTACGACAATATCCGAATTTACACGCCTTGTCACACTTATGCCCACCGACCAAGTACCTCTCGGTAATTTGGCTGCCCCGTGGTATCACCAAAAGCGCACTGGCAGCTAATGAATCGCGTATAAAACTAATTGATAAAAAGAGCCAAAAAAAAAAAATAGTACGGTAGGACGAACATTTTTTTTTTTTTTTTTAATGATTCCAGCGGACTCTATCCCCACGCCATCAAAGCACGATCCCAAGGAAGATATAAAAAACGCGTCTAAGCGAGCTAATCGCGTGATATCCATAGACGGATTTTGTTAGTAATATTAATAAATGTTATAAGTCTAAGCTAAGGCAAAAGCGCGTTTGAAAGCTTCACTTTTTTTTTTTTCTATGCAAGCGTAGTCGTAGTATACGATGCACGAGTAATCGCCAGTACCCAGAAAGACTCATAACGACAGAATCCACTGGTCGAATACTCATGTGACGATACTTCTGACATACTTTGAGGGGGTATAGAATTTGTCCAGTTTACAACATGAAAGAGTAATTTCGAGCATCGTTGTATCAAGCAGACGCTAACGCAACGGCAACTGAATATTTCAATTCTTGGACAGAGTCGAACTCTATACATCCCTCAAATGTACATACAGACGAACAGCGACATATCTACCTCTATGATACAGTTATCAAACGGTTATTGGAAGTGTAGTAAAAAAGTAGACAGAACATACATAGGTAGTTTGGTGCAGACCCACCTTTCCTGGGGCGCCACCAGTCGGTCTCAAAGTAGCCTGCGGAGCAAGAGTGAGTTGGTGTTGTTGTTGAACAGGAAGAGTAGATGGTGTATGCGGAAGAGGAGGTGGACAGTCCTTGTGTCCAACACCGGTTGATATGACCAATTTGTAATCGCAAGACAAGGGAATACGCGCCACATTTAATATCACCGCAAGATCAGTTAGAAAAAAAAAAAAAAAAAAAAAAAAAAAAAAAAAAAAATAACTTTATTCCCATCTCGTCGGTATAAGAATAAATCGCGAGGATGCTTTATTATGAAATCGGAAATTGGCGTCGATCTTCGGGCGAAGAGCGAGCGTTTCCAGAGTCGTAAGATAAATGTATACAGAGATGTGGTCCACTTTGAAGGAGTCCCATAGGTCCGGGCAATAAAAGCCAACCGAACGTAAACTCATGTGAAACCACGAGGATAGTGGATCCTTTTGGGAATGGTATACATGCGGCTACTTGTAAATAACGTAACGAAACAAAAGAAAGAAGATCCTCGTTAAGTGAGAGGATTCGAATAATAATTCAAACAAAGGAAAACGGTTCGTCGAACACTTTTATACGTGGACTGTTTGCATTGCGGCTTGCCGCCGTCCGTACAAACTTCTTTATCGATATTTATTAGACATTATTGATGGTAGTCATTTAGTAATTAATTTTCATTTTTTTTTTAATAAATAAATGAACTCTAACTGAATTTGCGGTCTAACTAATGGAAGTGTGTAGTACGAATAGACAGCAACCCGAATACCACAATGAAATAGCAATTCAAATCCCACTTCAAATTACGCAATACAAGAGGATATCAAATCAGTCACGTATCCTGAGTGTAACGATTGATTTAATAATATTGTTGAACTATCGATGCTTTTTGCTTTATAGAATTGATTTTTTTCTTTTGAGTCATCCGGATATGTGACTGATCGGTACTCGTATACCAACCATAATTCCAAGTACCTTCCGTTAAAACGTCTGCGAGATGTGCCAAGATATACGTGCATCACGAGATTGAACGTGGAATGATTTATTATTCTACGTCATAGACATTCTGATGAGTTTGAGAATATGGGGATCACGATTTTGTATAACCTCATTCTGCCACGTTCTTCTTGGCACACCTATATTGAACGTAACTAGTCCTGCCTTAATTAGGTGTCGAAGAATTAGTTAGTTTTAACCCAACCTTAACCACTATTTCATAAGCACAATATTCCATGACACGTATCAGAATATCATTAAGAGTTAGACGAGATGCGTATAATCAAAAGCCAAGATGTTTCATTTTTGTTTGTTGGTGTTATAAGTTTATCACGGAATCAATGAGCCGTGGCGAATATTAAAAAAAGAAATCAAACCAATATAGTGCGCGAATTCCTGGAGAAAATCTTTTAATGTGCAGCAACGTGTAATTAACTAAAGGACTTAAGCATGTTGTGTGTCCGATGTGTTTGTAAGATATGTATGTAAGGAGCGATGAATTAAAATATTGTAGTTGTATCAGAGTTTATATGTATAACCGGAAACGGAAACTAATAATAAAACCCATAATGGAGACTCGAACCAAGATTTCTTTGTGAAGTAGTTTGGACATAGAGAAAGAATAGGTGCGGATTAGATTCTCTGTGAATATTGATTGAAAACTATAGAGTGATCTTTGGAAGTGATTAGTAAGCGAGAGATATGCTTTGCAAATATATCTGATGTTTTCCATGTATCCTCGTGACTTGATGACTTGAGATATTGGTAATAAGTGTGAGTAATCTCGGCGTTCTTGCACGAACGCTATATACGAAACTTTTCTGAATTAAGAAGAAACATGAGAGCGTACGTTGACGAAGCAAGAACACAGAATGCGACGAGGTTTGAATAGTTCGTCTCGCGGAAATATGTTGGTGTGAATATGTAAGTTTCCTCGCCAGTTAAAATTAATCATTGTAAACGGTTCACAATAGTGAAAATTAATATTAAGATAAGCACAATTAAAGATAAATTATAAACAAAAGAACTGTGTCGTCATTATTAATGACCATAAAGTTTTATCTTAACAGTGGTTAAGACAGATTTATATAGGTATATGTATAGGGTGTCCCAAAATTACCTGACCAACGGGGTATGGCGGTGTTCGGGAGGCACCACTGATCACGAAAATGATCTTCCTTTTGTCCGGAAGGTAATAGCTTTTAAATGGGAGCAGGTCAAAGTTGACCAATCAGAGGGAGGCGTCAAGAGAAACGTAGGCACCTACGAACTCTGAGTTTTCTTCCCTCGTTTTTGTTTCTCGGTGGCTTGTTTCTTGTTTCCAATAGGCATGTCTTCGGCTGACGTCATCCTGGCCGAAGCCACTGAGAAACAAAAGCGAAGGAAGAAAACTCAGAGTTCGTAGGTGCCTACGTTTCTCTTGACGCCTCCCTCTGATTGGTCAACTTTGACCTGCTCCCATTTAAAAGCTATTACCTTCCGGACAAAAGGAAGATCATTTTCGTGATCAGTGGTGCCTCCCGAACACCGCCAAGTGGCTTCGGCCAGGATGACGTCAGCCGAAGACATGCCTATTGGAAACAAGAAACAAGCCACCGAGAAACAAAAACGAGGGAAGAAAACTCAGAGTTCGTAGGTGCCTACGTTTCTCTTGACGCCTCCCTCTGATTGGTCAACTTTGACCTGCTCCCATTTAAAAGCTATTACCTTCCGGACAAAAGGAAGATCATTTTCGTGATCAGTGGTGCCTCCCGAACACCGCCATACCCCGTTGGTCAGGTAATTTTGGGACACCCTATACATATACCTATATAAATCCCAAAAGGAAGGTCATTTTCGTGATCAGTGGTGCCCCCGAACACCGCCATACCCCGTTGGTCAGGTAATTTTGGGACAACCTGTATAATATACAGAACTACACAGATCAAGAGCATATGCCAATTTTGACAGTTATCGTAGAATCATTTCGGTCAAGTACAATTTGATAATAGTTATCGATCAAGGAGATGGATCTTTTTAATTGCTATAGTACTCGTATTTCCAACAGTATAAAAGAATTTTAAAAGTCTACTCACGAAATGGTACTCAAAGAGAATGCATAATAAAAATCAATTTTGGCTGAAACATCTGAGAGCTGTGTAGCGTTGTATAGTGTTAACACATGACATCGCTGTTAAATTTATCCTGAAACTGTTAGATTATCTGAAGTATGTTACTCTGCAGTTTACACTATCGAATGTCTTGAACTATGGATTTGAAAAGACATATATCTTTTAAAGTGAGTGAATAACTGGCACGTGATATTGCGTGATTACACTAGTGCTCTCAATAGACGATAATTAAACAGTGGAAATAAGACTCACCGTCATGGGAAGTATGAGCAGCCTGTGCAGTCTGCGTTTGTTTGCTGTAAACAACTGGCTCCTTTGGAGGAATGTTTGTATGGGCAACTGACACAACTGTCAGCTCCCTGGTAGGCTTCCTTCGTCCGGTTCCACTAATGAATAAAGAATAGTTTCAAATGAGGATAAGATTTATTTGAAATATTAACGAATAAGACAATAAATACCTTTGAGCTGAATTGATACTGGATGGCTGTAAACTGACATCAGGTGTAGCATTGTTGCTTTGTTCAGGCGTCAGTGAACTCATACTGGAGAGACTAGATAATACATCTAAAAAAAAGATGTGTTTTAGCCATATAAAAGCTAAAGACACAAATTGACTGTAAATGTTAAAACTGTAAAATATTTTTACCTGAGACTGGTGCAACTCCCAAAGATGAGAGCATGGCATCAAGTTCCTTACGATGATCCTTGTCCGTGCCAGCAGCACGGACAGTCGCTTCTTCCACCTTAGTCAATAACATGCAGAAATAAATAAAACATTTAATCAGTCAAATATGTATTAATAAAAACCCTTCCGTACATCCTTTTGCTCTTTTTCTCTCCTGCGCCTTTCTTTTTCTTCTCTAATAGCTTGAAGCTTAGCCTTCTTCCTTTCTAGTTCTGCTTTCCGATCAGACATCATGCTGAAGTTTTATTTCTATAATAGATAATGGAAAATTAATTTATGAAAACAATGATTCCACATTGTTACACAAAACTAAAATCACTATTGTATGTATATTGATTAATTGCAGTTCCGATGTAATATAGAAAACTCTTTAACATGAATACTACTGAAATACTGTTCGTGAAATTCTCGAATTCAACTCTTGGTATTTATACATTCTACAATTATTGATTTCCAGCAGACATGACCTGTATCTATGAGTCACATTTTACCATATAGAAATGAGTGAATAACACAAGTTAATTATTCGCAAAAATCTGCACGAATATGTAAACTATAGATTAATCAGAATAATTACAAAAGCCGTCTAATACAGTAAGCATTAATATTCATAACGCGTGGTACAATAGCGCTAGGATGAACTCATCTCCCAGCGACCGCCTGTCATTTGCACTTATCCTTTTATCGAAGAGGATACACGTGCCGGAAAGGCCAAAATTATAATTTCGATATTTACCTGGAACTATTAATGCTCAAGAAATTGACCACTGATTGACAGTTCTTTCGCATAAACAGAGAAAACTGAATAAATGTCACTGTCTACATAATACGCCCGACATGAGTATCCATCTTCAATTACGTATCTACTGTCAAAGTCAATAAAGAAACTCTTACAAACGTGTACAATATTATACTTTCATAAAAACGTATAAAATAACGTAAAAAGTTAAAATTAATAAAACAATCATTGAATATAATTAAAAAATTCTTGATTTTATAGCTTATGAAAATTATTGCAAAGACAGTAAAATATTTATTTTACAAAAATTTAATATACTTCATACTCTAATTTTGATATACATAGAATATTATTTATAAAAACAAACTATTTTTTTCCCGTATAGCGTTAAAGGATAATAAAATATATTTTTCAGTGACAGTGCCTGATAACCGGATGTTATCGCGCAAACAATAGTTTACATAATTTTCGGTGCTCGTCGTATCCGTTAAGAAGTGACATTACTCAGCTGAGCCGATTAGGAGATAAAAGTAACTTATAATAATACAAAATGGGTCTAGTGCGGTTAGTATATTCATTGAAAACCAAGGAGGCTTTGCTGTCACGGTATTAGCATATTTATAATTGTAACATGTATTTTCCTGATATAACCTCAAGATACATTTACAGATTCGCTGTGAAGAGTACCATTGCAGGCGGAATTGTATATTATACCGTACAAGAGGGTTTATGGTCAAAGCCTGAGGAAAGCACCAAGTTATATGGAAAGCTGTACAATAACGTTGCACCTTACATCAAGGATAATATCCCTAAGGAAGTAATCAATGATGTAAGTCTATATTTATTGAATAACCAAACAAATATAACATGAAATAAATTGTCTATTTTTGTTTAGCTTCCTCAATTAGTTAGTCCTTCGGATTTATCAAATTGTGCAAAAGCCACCTGGAACAAGGGAGTCATAGTATCAGTCAAATATATTTCTGAACTTCCTACTCATGTCTCCAATGGGGTTAATGCTCTTTTAGAACAACCAGCTATGAAAGAAGCTTTATCAAGTGTTATTAATTCAAACAGTGTACAAAGCAAACCTAGCAAAGCCCACTAGATAAATATTTTTGTTACAAATATTGTACCTTTGAATTCGTAGCAAAATTATATCTAGTATTTATATGTAAATACATGTCATTGCTCATTGTTGCTTAGTTAACTCTGCAGAAGTCAAGTATACATAAAGATAACTAAAAAGTGGTTTGTAAAAAAATATTTATTTACCCAATGCTCCCTTACTATTAAGTAAATCCGTTGGCATTAAAATTCGCTTAAACTTACCCCAGTATTTATTTACGATAATCCATTTCCCTATACATTAAGTGAATTTCAATTGTATCGACACGTCTGCGCGCTTTAGCGAATAACCGGATCTAGGATAACTCGCGATAATTCAATGCCATCTTGATCACTGATAGGAAATGGCGGTAGCTTTTGAGTATCGCCATCTACGATTTTGATCAGGATGTGTCGAACTATAACGCTGTCACGTGACCGCTATACATAGTTGTGCGGCAGACATGGCGGACAAAGAGGAGGCTGAGAAGACCATCGCCGAAGACTTGGTTGTCACCAAGTATAAAATGAGCGGCGAGATCGTAAACCGTAAGAAAACGACGCACCGTTCTTCAACGAAGCCATAGAGTTCAAAATGTCTCCATCCCTGCTCGGGAGTGACGATTCTTTTTGATTATTTCCTGGACGGCCATATGGAATGTGGCCTGCCAATGCCGGGCCCCTCACCATGTGGGCTGGCGTCGAACCTAATTTTTGTATGCTTATCATTAAATGCATAAGAATTTGAAGATTTGCGGTTTTTCTTTACGATAGAATTTTATGCTGGGATCATTTTTATGTGAAGATTTGTAATGGCTCCGAAATTCGGGGCACGTTTAGTTCTCTGCTTTTATCAAGATTGAACTGCACTCATCTCACAAATTCTGGGTCTTACCGGTTGAAGAGATTGGGAATACTTATTATTGTCCTTAATATTTGTTTTTCTTTTTAGTCTTACTGTAGAATGTTCTTAAATTATGTGTTCCCTTAAATGGTGGGATTGGAGTTTTTTGACCTATGGCTTTTATACATATGGGGTAGCATTGAATAAATGATATTTCAAGTCTAAAAATAATGGTTCTCTATTTATCTATATTTGGCATGTGAGTGTAAGTTGTAATCTTACATTGCATTGTAACATTAGAAAATTCTGTTCAACAGGAGTCTTGAAACAGGTCTTAGAGAAATGCATTGTTGGTGCTTCTGTGAGAGAGATTTGTGAGTATGGTGATAAGCTGTTGACAGAGGAAACGAGCAAGGTCTTCAAAAAAGAGAAGGAGCTGAAAAAAGGTATCGCCTTTCCAACCTGCATATCTGTAAACAACTGCATCTGCCATTTCTCACCTATTGCCAGTGAACCTGATCTCATTCTCAAGGATGACGATATGGTAAAAGTGTAAGTTGCACCAACAGAAATTTAAGTCTTGATTTTTCAATCAATTTTAAAACATTTCTGAATAATCACATTGCATTTTTGTATTGCAGAGATCTCGGAGCTCATGTAGATGGCTTTATCGCAGTAGTGGCACACACTGTTGTGATTGGCTCCAGTCCAGAGAAAAAGGTAACAGGAAGGAAAGCCGATGTCGTACTAGCAGCTCATTATGCTTCTCAAGCTGCGTTAAGGCTTCTCAAGCCAGGCACAGAGGTAAGGACTCATCAATAACTTATGCAACAATCAAATCAGAAAATTCCCCAAAAAATATCAAAGATACCTGTGCATCGTTTATTCGTATAAATACCTTTCTGCGATGCATAATTATTTTTCTTTACCTCATCAGACTTACACGATAACAAGTACTGTGGCGGAGATCTGTGATGCCTACAAGTGCAAACCAATGGAGGGAATGTTAAGTCATCAGCTGAAACAGTTCAAGATCGATGGTGAGAAGACCATTATTCAGAATCCCAATGACGCGCAGAAAAAGGAGCATGAAAAGTACACCCTTGAAACTCATGAGGTCAGTCCTTAATCGTAAGAAACGACATCGTCTGACCTTCATAACATTTAGTAATGATCCTCATCATAATTTAGGTTTACGCGATGGACGTGCTAGTGAGCACAGGCGAAGGTGTCGGACGGGAACAGAACACTCGGGTTACCATATACAAGAAAACAGAGGAGACATATCAGCTGAAGTTAAAAGCATCTCGTATGTTCTACTCAGAAGTGTCTCACAAACATGGTCTGATGCCATTCAATCTACGATCATTCGAAGATGAGAAAAAGGCCAAGATGGCGATTGTCGAATGCGTCAGTCATAGGCTGATCGAGCCATTCCAGGTAATCTATACATATAAACCCTACTGATATTGGTACGAAACAGCATGTCCAATACATATTTATAATTATCCAGGTACTCTACGAAAAGCCGAACGAGTATGCTGCACAATTCAAATTTACGGTCTTACTGATGCCGAATGGACCACATAAAATCACAGGTATTCCCTTCGATCTGGACGTTTTCCAGTCGGAATGCGTCGTGGAGGATCCCAAACTTAAGGTGAGTTATCGATAACAGTATCTGATATAAAATTTATATCCCGTATACTAAATTCGTATTTGTTACTTACAGTCTCTGTTGAACTCTTCGGCAAACCCAAAATCTGCAAAGAAGAAGAAAAAGAAGGCAGAGAAGGCAGTGGGCGACGTAGCGCTCGAGGTTGATGCTAAGGCCTAACATCATCATTCTATCACATCCATGACTTATTGACATCGTGCACTTTCCCTCCTCTTTTAACCGAAACCACATAAGAGTAACACAGGATGCTTTCAAAGAATGAGGCAAGCAGGGAAGTTACCTTTAGTATTGCGGCAATCGTATTTTGTTTGATACATTCGTGACTTTGCCATTCCCATAGTGAGAACAACAAATTCTCCAAATAGTCCAATATCATCTGCACTTGCATTTGCGAAAGTATCAAGCTTTACTCTTACGTACAGATTCAATCTCACCATCGTGCTCTCACCCATTATACAACCTTGTTCATCACACTCTTCTGTTTTTATAACTCAAAGTATCTTTTTAGCGAATCATAGTTTCTTTAAGACACACTGAACGTTGGATTGGTCAATTCAATTTTGATAATCGAATTCGTTTACCGTTTCGGTATGTGAATTTTCAATTAAACAGTTAAGCAAATGTCTCTTCCTTTTGGATGTTTAGAAAATTTCTTTCCTTTTTACTACATTTTCTTTCATAAACACCCCTTTCTCGATAAGCACGTTAAACGCTTTTATTTGACCTATGAGAAACCATGTAACCTTTCAGAATTTGAAAAGCCCTGTACTTTTGTGTGCGAATAGAACTTTGGTTTTTCTTAGCTGTTAACAGGCTTAATTGTTACGTACTGTATTTGCTACTGGAGGGTTCGAATGTGTCGGATCGCCTTCTCATTTTTTATTCGTATTGCCCCTCTGGTTACTGCGTGTAACTGCGCGATGCTATATCCATCCTTCGTTTAGCTGTGAAAAAGAAAGAACTATGCCATGAACATAACATAACATTACACTATAAAACATTGTAAAATTAAGACACGAGTGTTGACGCTGGGACTCTGCATAAAAATGAATAACAATGACCTCGGAGTATTTCGTTGAAAGATTCCCCAACCGAAGGATACAATTGTTTTTCTGTATATGACTAATATTATTTGATATTACATATTCTTGTTGTGGCGGTGTGAGCGAATGGGAGTCAATGAGAAAACAAAAACAGCAATACACTACTCGCACCAGATACAGGATCGTCGTAAATATTGTTCGTGACTAAAACGACCCGATGATTTCGACATTGAATTGAGAAAGAAAGCAAAGGTGTTCTGGGGAGTATCCAAATTACCGAGGGGGAAATAATGAAAAAGTATAAAATTATGGAATATTAATATTATGTAATAATTAATAGTTTTATATAAGGATGATAGATAATGTATCTGTTATAGATATTTTTTCTACTCGAGTTGTGCATATGTCGGATGTTAACGAGTGAACTTGTAAAACAAAAGTATCTTAGGCCAATATGCACGGTCCTTCCTTAGTTTGAATTATGTTTTCCACAATTAACAGAACAATTATCTTTGACACCGGTGCACAGATGCTTACGCATTCATCAATTGGTTGTATTGAAGTTGATTCATTATATCTTGATACAATTTTATTCCTAGGAACAAAAGCATCGATGAACATTTTATTCCCACAAGATCATTTACGTCCTTAGGGATTAATAAATTTGAAGCCTTTTCACTGCGGAGAGGACTGTGCATAATAATACATATAGCAAACAAAAAAGTAATAAAATTTAACCTGGTGATATGAGAAAAAAATTATTTAAAAAAATTAGCTGACAAACAAAAAATACTAATAGATTTTGACACGTACGTATATAATTAATCAATTGTTATATTCGTAGTCCCACATCACTCCAGCTCTTATATTTTTTTAATTTTATCTTTTCTTTCTTAACACAGGCCCATTCTCACACATAACACTCCACATTACACTCATGCCCATAATGAACTGTGAAGAAATCCATTTAAAACTGTCATATATTACATGAATTTTATTGTCTGTATTACTCAATAAGTTTGCTACGATCTATGATCCATGATTGGAGCAAGAACATAAATACAGAAATATGTAGAGCAAGTATTTGAAAAAGTATTTGAAAACGTAACAGCGTTGAATTGTGAGGAGATGGAAAACACGAAATTTAGTGTTGCCTTCTATAAGATTATAGTACATTCGTATGGAGAAAGAAATTGCGCGCTTCGATAACTTTAACTACGTTTCTTCTGTTTTTCTTTCCTCTTTTCCTCATTTATAGTACAAATCATAAATACACTGTATATCTAACTATATTATCCGTCGTATGAAAAAGAAAAGATTACAAGAAATAGCTTAAAGCATTTCCACGTCGGTTTGACTGAACTTTAATTTTAAAGTGACTGTGTTAGGTGTTGTCACGTCGGCCACGTTGAGCTCAATGCCATCTCTTAAGCCAAGATCTTGCAATGTCTTTTGAAGATTTTCACGGGTCTTCTCTTCGATACTTTGGACAGTGTGCATATACAGTGTCTTGTTTTTACCGTTAATGTTGGCCGTGAGACCAGGATTTTTCATTTGCAAGTCTGATCTCTCACACAGAAGCTCTATCAAATCTTTCAGTTTCCAATTAGGATCTTTGATTTCTATTTCTCGAGGTACCTGACTGCAGGCTAGACAGTCGTCCTTCTTTTCTGCTTCATACGTGTATGTATAAATACCTTCGATATTGTTGAGTACCTTTTGAATAAGATTTACATGAGTTCGATGATGGGATAGTATAAGTCATTGAATTTATGTTTGTCTTATTGCATTGAAATACCATATAATTATTTAATGATGCGCAGCAACTGGTAGCAAGTTTAAAAACTTCTGTTGCACATGATGCAGCTATTGCTGCATTTGTTGACGCTACTGCTGGTATTATATGCTTCACTACACCCTGTACGAGTCTATATGTTAAACCTTGTATACCAAACTGTGCTGCTCTTTCTGTGGCTTTTTCATAGATCCAATTAATGTGTTGTGGATCATCACCATCTATTGCGCAATCAAATGGATTTTCTTTGGGCCACTGTATTACTTTCACATACTCGATACAATGCTCTGGTAATCTAGGAGTGTTTGCTATCGTGCAGAGTGGAAATGTTACCTACCGATACGTAAGTGTTAATTATGAGGCTTATAAAAATATATGATTTTCCAATAATTCTTTTTACCTGTGGTGGATACAGGTCTAAAGTACATTCTATACAAGCTGATAAGCCAGGTAAAATTACTCTGGCATTTCCTTTGAAACCTTCTGTACCACCATCAACCATTGGGATTACACTGGATGGATCTATTTCCCCATCTTCGTAAACGAGCAAGGATATCAACATGCCATTGATCCATCTTCTAGCCACTATCGAATCCAAACCACAAACAACAATGTGAAATTGTCGATAGAAAGCCTCATCCTTGTCTTGAATTTTGCAGAAGTGTGAAACTACATTGCAGCCAGATACTCTGGCATTTATAAATTTTGCAGCAATCTCAGCTTTCGATGATCCAATATCTTTGTGTCGGAATAAGAATTGCCTATTATACAAACATACAAACAAATTCTTGCAATATTTATTACAGCGGAGAACTATCACAAAATCACATACCGATTCAAATTGGACAATTCAACAGTGTCCATATCTATGACATGTATCTGCCTGAAACCCATTAGTGCCAAATCTTTGAGCAATTCACATCCTAAGCCCCCAGCACCAATAACTAACAATTTGCAATTTTCCATGAGAAATTTTAGAGTTTCAGATGACGGTTCGAAATCCGGCCTGCAAAAAGGTCCTGACCTTTCCAAGACCTTTTGCAAATGACTCCATCTCCTATGCGTATGATCTGACCCCATATTCCACTGCAAATTAAATAAACCTCTTGAAACTATTAAATTATAATTGTCTTCGTAAATCCAACCCTTAAACCCCAATTCACATCAGTATTGTTAAAGAGGTTAGTTTCAAACAAGTGGAATGCCGGTATAGTAGCCAACGAAACCATTGAACCCGCTGATTCCACGTTTAACATAGAACTCAGTAGCATATCTAACATGTACCAAGCATTATTTTGTATAATTTTACATCTTCGACAAAGGATTAACAGCTAAAATGAATATAGTTAATATTAGACGCATTTAATCTTTTTTCACGTTAATTTCGATAATGATTTTTGTATAATTTCAAAAAGTAAATTCGTAGACTTCCGTTACTTGAGAAAAACAGTTAAAACACCGTTCAGTATTATACCTTGTGTTGTCCGAAATCGATATGAAAATTGGCTTGTTTATTGCCGCGGTTGATAACAGGCGTGCCGCTTTAAAGTTTATCGGCTGACCCAATGAAAATTTTCACATTTCACATGCCCTTATCCATTTATATAAGTTATCAATCAATAAATGATTGACCGAGGAGAAGAAATATTTCTAGTTGAGTGCGCAGGGTTAAAAAATAGGGGAGATTCATCCTATTCGATCGGCCAGATATCAAACAAAGGGCCAGTAGCCGGTGCGTGGTGACATTTCAAGAAACGTGTTTAAGTCTTGGGTTCTTTGGTAATCTGTTCTCTGAAATAATTATACAAACTAGTGAAAATAATCAGTGCTATGCCAAAGACCTCCACGAGAAGATAAAGCAAGAAGAGCACTGACACAGGAAGGAGAGATTCTATCTCGTGAAAACAAGTGTCTCAGGAAGTGAACGTGAACATACAGAGTGGGATATGATTCGAATTAAAGAGGAACTTGTGGAAAAATTAGGCCTGGAAGGGAAGGATGATCCTCACAACTTGTTGAACAATATGGTCGATGTACGAGCGTGTTATAAACCTAGCGAAAAAGTAAGAGAATTAATATTTCATTAAATATGTTCCCCCTGTACCCTGCACGAAGATGAATATATTTCTCCCTTCGGAAGCCATAAACACTTTTCTTACTGTTTACATCATTCTTGCGTAATTCTCAGGGGATTAATTAGCAGGGTATACACTGCACAGTTGACATTTACATTTTATTATGTTTCTACAATGTCCCAGTGACATTTTCTCAATCGAAATAGTAACTCCCTAAGATCCCTCTAGTCCCAATTTTAGCGGACTCGTAGTAGGGAGGATAATGGAGCTACTATTCGATATTTTGGTGTCCCTCGATATTTGAGACCAAACAAGTTCCATAACGTATATTTTTAAATTTTATGATACCCGTATATATATTATTCCTATATACTTCCATGGTTCTATTCTTCAGTCGTCAAAAGGTCATGGAGTCTATTGCTTCTCGTATATATATATATATATTCCTACTGGAATGACTCAGTTTATATTAGCATGACGTGCTCCATTTAAAACTCTTGTCAGCCACGCACGACGCTTCACACTTATTTATTGTTGAGAAACATCAGTATTAATCAACAGTCAGTGTGGCGCCAACTCCATTACAAACGTTTCCCGATAGAGAAAGTAATTCCTATCGATACAGGTAAGAATCTAGAAAAAACGCTATCCCGTTTACTGTAACTGTTCGCCATTGTTGTTAATTCCTGTCCCTTTAAAAATGCCTATGGTGAGACGAAAAAAAAAATAATGAAACCTGTTTTTTATCATTTTTTTTTCTTTTCCAGCGTCTCCCCTATTCCTGTTGGATTATTTCCTAATCCATTCACGTGCATCCCGCATCCGTAGGAAAAATTCCACAGATATTTACTACCGTCTGCGCGATAAACCACGAGGAAATTACAAGATGTATGTCATTTTATTTCTAATAGATACAATTTCTTTCTCACACGAAAATTTTTACTTTGTCACTTTCCTCCGAAACGATTGCTTTGTTCATTCTCGATTTCAATCCATTATCGATTTTGATCTCTACGGATTTAATTATCAATCACGCTATATGTTATAATTTCTCTACGATCTAAGAAATTGCTAATTTATCTAATCGATCGTGATTATATATATGACCGCGTTTGGATTAAATCCTGTTAGCTAAAAGCCATAGACCATTTGCAGACTATTTAAACTTTTCACAGCATGCTACTGGATATCTGAAACCTGATAATCAATGGAAATAGGAGCACAACCTAATACGATTTGAAATCTATGGAAAGAAGCTGTACAGAAACCTTGAGTTTTCTACTTGACCTCCACTCCACGTTTTCACATAGAAAAGTCGTTGAGTTAATCGATGCTAATGATTTTTCTGCTCCTGTTGGTTTTCGTTTGCAAATTATTTAACGGACACTCCAATCATTCACCTCTCGGAGACTGATTTGTGTCACGCGAACCAGCCGGAACATAGTAATTAACTAAAATTAGGTAATCGACGTAGATAATTAATCTGAAGCAGGATAGGTACAGCACGCTAATAATAATAAAGCATCAAAGCTTTTGTCCTGCTTCATGCTATAGCCAGCCGGGATCAATTGACAGGCCATGTAGTCACGGTATGTCGTGTCGACACATAATAATCTGGACTAGATAAAAATTGTATAAAAAAATATATATATACAAGATATCAATGTAAAGCATAATAACTCAACGTTCTCCCTGTTAACCATTTGAGAAAAGTAATGGCGCCTAACCTACCGTAAGTAAAACCGAATCTACTTTTAGTCTCGAGGTTCTTGGCTTTCCCAGTTTACGAACCGTTGAAATATTTAACGTGTACACTAGAATATATCTACTGTATTCTCGTCAGGTCCACGTAACCAGCATAAACCACGAGACCTACAGGGTCAATATGTCTCCAGAAAAATACATCATCCATCCAAATTAGAAGCCTATGATGCTGTATTGTATAAACCTAGAGAATTGTCTGTAAGGAATGAACAAATGCAATCGCCATCGCTATAAGGAGACATGACATAAGATTTTCGATCATCATGGATGACTATTGGATAATAAAATCTAGACTCACAATAGGGCAACGAGAATCAATGGAAAGAAGAGCGAGGCCCAGAGATCTTGTCGCCGATAATGTCCTTTCACGATGAGAGAAACGCGGAATAACATTCATTGCGAAATTAATTGATTCCGCTAGAAGAATTCCGCTCGTGCCTTCATTCGACACTCATCGTTACGTTTCACGAATACAGTGCAGTCCGCCGTAGGAAAAAAAAGGAATGCTCTTTAGCTTTTAAAGAAAAACGAATGTTATTTTTGGCGCGTGCAATCTTTTTTAGAAAATTGGATAAGCAATCGGGAATAATGGACTAAGAGCGGGAGGAAATTTCTAAAAATATCCATCCTTTCTCTTGCGTCATACAGGGTGTTCCAGTAGAGGGTCTACATCGATCCTTGCCATGACGAACGATCGTTAAACCGTGTAATTAGGTTGTGCTTGCAGTTCACGGTAGAACACAATAGCTGGCACTTGTACGTATGCCTGATTAGAAACGCGTACGGCCGATTATAGGAGGAAAAATGCATGATACAATAGACAGTGAAAGAGAAAATGAAAAAGTGGCCACTGATCGTCTAGCAATAAGATGCTTGTAGAAAATTTATAGATATTTTATCTCTACGTCAATGGATAGTGTATCCAAATCTCAACGAATCCTATCAGACTTTGATCGGACGTCAACGGCCCTTGTTCAAATCTTCTCTTTGTTTTTTTCTTTCTTTTTGTACAAGTACTATCGCGCTATCTTGTTTCTCTTGTATCTTATATCGCTGCTCGTACTCTACGGAACACACTATACCCTGCCACAACTATACTCAGCCATGCTGCATTGTACTATAGTCACTGGCTGATATCTACACACCTTGACGCTTTCGGTCCGCTTTCAGTCAGAGTCAGTAGCTCTTGCGGTACAGTACTGGCTACTGGGATTAGAGATTTTGCTGCTAGCCGGATAATCTTAGTTATTGTTTTTCATCTGTGAGAAATACCAGTAAGCGGATCGGATGTGTGAAAATTGCTATTGAGAAATGTAAAATTGAGGTTTTTATAACTAAATTGTATACTTTCATATCTGATAATTGTAATCACGCGTGCGAGGCTTAGATCAATATTGGCATCTAATTGTCGTACAAGTGTCAAAATCGAAGGAGATATTGAATCTCTGTAATTTGTCCTACGACAGAGAATAATTGTTATTAATGTAAGCGTGCGCGATTTTTAAATTAATTATCAAACAACTGTCGGTAGAGTTTAAACATTAGACTGGTACAGGATCGTGACTTGTTTTATCACAAAGTGAATGCTTACTTACGTTTTCTGAATGTCACACGGGATACGTTTAACATATATATTCTTTTGGATGAATATTCTAACGCGCAAGGTGCTGATTGATAACTGATTGCATAATAGATTTGGCGCGCAATTTGAATAGTTGTATCAATACAAGCGACGTGTATTGAGCTTCTACGTTTCTTTGTAATTTCTTTATCCGTAACGTTTTCAAACTCTTATAATTTTATGAGTTCAGTAGCTGTAGCCGTGTGCTCTTGTTTTTTTTTATTTCTTTCAGTACAACGAAAACTGTGTAGCTGTTTGGTTGCTGAGAATTGAGTAGTTGAGTTGGTGTTGCATGGGCTGCCTTGTCAGTTACACCCCCCCAAGTCACTGTCACCACACATGACTGCCTCGTACGTGTTTTGAACCTGTTGACAGTCAGACATGACCAACGACAAGCATGTAAGTAAACGCTTTGTTTTCTCTCCTCTTTTTTCTCCACTGTTCATCATCGATCCTCTAACTCCATTATTTTTTTAAAGCCTGACGTCCACACCGCTCGCGTGTTCCCAGCAGGAACTCGCGTTCCTTCGGTACCTCCTTTAATAATTACCATTAAGAAACAAAAGTACACAGACTTTATTCACTTGGATGAACTCTGATCCGCAAGATCAGCGACTACGAGCGGCGTCCGTCGCTCCTGGCAGTGAGAGGGGAAGAGCAAGACTTTTTTTGACTCCTTCACAATCTACACAACTGTTCGTTTCTTCTGGTACAGAAAAGGAAGGATATAAAAAGAAAGAACATACTCCACGAGCACATGCTCGTCGCATAATTCAACCTGGTGCTTCTGCTCGGGGCTTTTGCGGAATAAATTTCCCCTTGCTAATATTAGCACGCCTGCAAATCATAGGACGAAGTTATACGCGCTAATATTAGTACGGTGCTAAAGCCCCACTCTTCGAAAAATCTTATTTCACTGGCGATCCTGTCCTGGATACGAAGAAGCCGCTTGCGCTGTTCGTTTCACTTCTTTAGATAGACTCAGAGAAACCAAGTGACTGGGAGGAGGATGAAAAATTGGAAAATCATCCAATAAGGATCCACCTTCGTACAGTCTTTGATGGATAGGATTGTATGACTGTTTATTATTGCACGCTGACGTAATTTTGAATCTACGTAATCCAAAACGTGACATAAGCCACAGACGGGCGGCCCACATAATTTTATTTTATATGGCAAACGTTGTACAACACAACCTGGACTTTTTATAATGGAACGGAATGGAATCGACTAACATTGAAATTCTATGTTCGTCGCTGATAGGCTTAGAATCTTAAACAGCTGCTTTGTAATTCTTTTCTGTGCCAATGAAACTGTCGATCTCGCAGCTTTTGACCTAAGGCAATGCTCTCGTACGAAGATTTCATATAATCGCTTGCGATACTTACATACAACAAGGACGCACACAAATGTACGGTACAATTAAGAACACACTGTTATTATCACGTGCGCCAAATCGTAAAGCGGTGCCTTCGTTTACTGTTCCATTGTTCGTGTACGGTATGACCAGTATTTTAGGACAGTAAGGTCAAACGAAGCATATTTGGACACAGCTCGAAGCACAGCTAGTGCAGGAAAGAAAGTATTGTAAAAAAATCAAGGAATACTATTTACATTAATGACGATAAATTTACTATGTAAAATTCACCGGTACTTAAAGCAAGTTTAAATAATTTCACGTACCGTGGCTTTCACTCTCGTCATCCCTGAGATCAATATACGTGCTCAAACTTTTCTGATAACGCAATGATAATAGTTAACGGCCTGGCTGATAAATACTTCTGTCGAAAGATATACAATATTCCATTGAATCCTTAACCCGTACGACGGTTAATGTAACTATTAGTTGTACTCGATGCATGTAACAAAACGTGTAAAAGACTCTTATGCAAAATGTGCATCGTGCCAGGCTTTTATTACGTTAGAGAAGGCCGCACGTTCCGGCACAGAGAGACAAACCAGCTATTTCCCGGATCGTTAATCCACGCATGAAACACACCGTTACTCATACAGACTACTAATTTCTTATTTCTGTTCCTAGTCGTGGTTCCGGGGCGTGCGGAGCAGCAAATTTCGTCACGTTTACGGTGTACCGGCCAAGAGGGAGAGATGCTACGACAACATCAAGATCACGAAGAATGCCCACGACTCACAATTCTGTGCTGTCAATCCAAAGTTTTTGGCAGTTGTCACCGAGGTTGCTGGTGGTGGTGCATTTCTGGTTTTGCCACTTGACAATGTGAGTCTCAGGGGATGAATTATTAGTGGAATCAAATATGTAAATATTTTTTTGAATTTATGGATCAGTGCACTTGATCTTGGTGAGAGTAATCATTTCAAACTGTCTTGCAGAAGGGAGTTACGTAATTTCATTTTACTATCTCCTACGAGGAGAGTGGTTGTAATAGAAAATATAAAAATTCATATCGATTCATGTTTATGGAGAGCTTAAAATCCTTAATGCTAATGTACTGTATTGTACAGATACATAAAGTACGTTATACTAATCAAGAATGCTGCTACCACGTGCTACGTGAAAGAAGCGTATACGAAGAAGCAGGAGAGGATTTTACTTTCACTGCTATATCTCGATGTTAATTGCAGCTCGTAAATCTGTAACGTGGCAGATTTTCCATGACTTATTCCTGTCGAATATCTTTTTCTCTTTCTCCACTCTCCTTTTTATCCCCCCCTTCTTCATATAATATCCAGTATCTTTCTCTTTTTATCATGGTCGAAATTCATTTCCATTTTTTACTCCACTTTCCTAGGCAACTATCCGTGCCCGCATTAGAGTAATGGATTTTGATCTTGTACTCCATCAGAAGATGGATTTACCGGTACTTTTTCTCAGAAGCCGTGTTACCATTTATCTAGGGTACCTGTCTGAGCTCAATTCCTGTTTTTTTTTCCAGTTTTAATCACAACTCACGTTTCGCTTTCAGACTGGAAGACTGGATTTTAATGCTAGCAGAGTAACTGGGCACACTGGTCCTGTATTGGATATTAAATGGAATCCGTTTAACGATAACGTGATTGCTTCTTGTTCGGATGACTGTACGGTAAGATAATATAGTTGATTTCTCTGTTAAGAAATTCCGTCGAACTTTCTCATGATCAATGATTATTCTTGTTTTCAGGTGAAACTCTGGCATATACCGGACGGTGGATTGTCCAGGAACCTAACTGATTGGCTTGTTGAATTGCAAGGACACAAGAGACGTGTCGCATACCTGGAATGGCATCCGGTTGCTGAGAATGTACTATTCAGTGCTGGATTCGATCATCTCGTTATCGTCTGGGATATAAACCGAGGGGAAGCTGTCAGTGTGATTGATAGACATCCCAATGTTATATACAGCATGTCCCTTAACAGGGATGGCAGCTTATTAGCGACTACCTGTAAGGATAAGAAATTACGTGTCTTTGAGCCAAGATCGGGCATTGTTGTTTCGGTAAGTTATACGTTCACTGGAGTCGACGATGTACCATGTTTGTGTAATTTTAAGAATTAAACAAAATCTGTTAACCTCTTTTTGCTTTTCTTAGGAAGGTGTCTGTCATGCTGGGACCAAAGCAAGCAAGGTTGTGTTCCTTGGTGGATCGGGTCGTCTCTTAACCACTGGCTTTAGTCGGCATTCGGATAGGCAATACGCCATTTGGAGTCAGCATGATCTGTCGATGCCTTTAACTTGCGAGACTATTGACTCTTCCAGTGGGATCGTATTTCCTTATTACGATAATGATACCAATATGGTGTTCCTAGCAGGAAAGGTAAATTTAATAAATGACTCGGGGTTGATGAGGCACTCTATTGTAACTGTTTATCATTGATCCAGGGTGATGGAAACATTCGGTACTACGAAGTAGCGAACGAGGCTCCTTGGCTGCATTATCTTAGTCAATTTATATCCGGAAATCCTCAGAGAGGACTGGGAATTATGCCGAAAAGAGGTGTCAATACTTCTATCTGCGAAGTGTACAGGTTTTACAAGCTACACGCGACTCGTGGAATGTGCGAGCCAATTTCCATGATAGTGCCACGAAAGGTATTAATTGATCATCTGAGTTTTTTAAGGGTTGAACTCTAATGTAATCTAAGAAAATTGTTTTTATCAGAGTGATCAGTTCCAAGAGGATCTATATCCCGACACAATTGGAACTACACCAGCTCTCTCGGCCAAGGATTGGATCAGCGGCATGAACAGTCCTCCGATTTTAATATCTTTAAAAACTGGTATGAATTTTCGCTACTCGTTTCGGCATTCACGCTGTACGAATTCGCTTTTACGTCGTCGCACGGTTAATCATTTAACCACTCATTAATCTCATCCTACCTAATGATTTGGGAAGTGATACTAACCAGCCGATGGTTTCCTGAATGCATCTAGGTGCTTTGTCGACAGGTGGTAGCATCACCACACACAAACCGCGTGTCTACAAACCTGCACAGATGCCTCCAGCAACGGATTTGAATACCAAGAAAAAATTCGCTTTTCTCTCCACGGAAACCGTGCCGGATTATCGTCCTGTTGAACTTCATGACATGTCGGAGAAGAGTCAGAAGACTTCGAGTAACCAGAGCACCAAGTTTCACGAACTCCAACAGAAATTTGGTAGCGCTGGTTTACAGGTGAGTCAAGTTCCTCGTTTACTTCCTGTAGCGTGATAGTCGTTTGATGTTGCTAGCTGTCTGTAGTCTCGACAATGAAGACTGCTCTGGATGCGACATTCTATTTCAAATCTCTACACGATGTTCATTTCGTGTATTTCTTGATGTAACGCATCCACGGTGGTTTTATCATTATTATTTTTATCTCTGTTAATCCTTACTTCAACGAGAATATGCATATATGCCTTTTATCGGTATAGCTTTTATTTACGCTAGAGGCTGTGAGAGCTATTTAACTATCAAAGCCAACGCAGCTGGATACGAATTTTACAACTTAAGAGGTGCACCTATGAATAGGATAGATTCACTGTGATACTGTATTTGTTATTTTCGATAATTCTTTCCTATGTTTAAATTTTCTCAGAACTACTGGAGGAAGATGTATTCATAGGTCGCCTCTTAATATTATCAATCGTTTGTCTAACACACTAACACTTTGCATGGTCCATCGCAAGACACCAAGATGTAGCACCAAAATCTATGAGCTCGTTAGCAAGTTTGGGAGCTATACTCATTATAACAAGAAGGTAGGTTATTGGAAGATGTTTTAATTTTGTTGCTGTTTAACTAGACTATTACACACTTTGATGTATCGTGCATGTCTTTCTTGATTTGTTGCAATGATTAAGGCTAAATTTTATTTATGAAATATAAGTAGGCTATCTGATATTTTATATTTATAACGAATAAGGGATACACTCGAATAAGTAGATTTTAAAAATTTTTTTCAGCTTGTGTAGACTGCGCAGTGTAGGTTGACTATTATAAATTTATTAGAAGGCTACATACTAACTGCATAGTGGCACCAAGCTTCTTCGCCTAGATCATTCAGAAAGGCACATATCATAGAAATATCCCTTACTCCAAGTAGACTTATTCTTCTCATGAAAATACCTTATAATATTTGTACAGAGTAACATCGTGACAACCACACTGAATGACAACAAGGTCTTGGAGACTGTAGACATCCCCAACAACGAGGCTGAACTCAGAGTAGCGTTCGCTCGTCAAACTGATGAGCTACGATTGGTTCGACGTCAACTGGCTAATAGTCAACTGCGCGTCAAGGAGTTGGAGGAGCAAGTACGCAAATTGCAGAGTCACTGAATTTCACGAAATATACATTGTACAGTTTTAACGGTTGGTAACTATAAGCAGGTATAGATAACAGTAATCAGCTGGACAAAACGTAAGAGAACAGAAATACCTAGGGCCGTCGTATTGCTTTTAATTCTTTGGCATTTTCGTATTGAACTACTGCCAGGCATATCGACTTACCTTACCGGAAACAATTTTCGAAAGGAGTACGGTTGATGATTGTTGTTTTGTAGACGTAATCAAGCTTGCCAGAGGAATATAGACACGTACGTTCTATTGAAAATAGAAAACAAATTAAAACAGAAAGAAAATAACAACGGTACCTGTCCGCGAATAGTGTCTGTGAGGAAAACAGTCTGAATACTTCGGTATACTCCGTGTTTAAGTATTCTCGATGCTAATTGCAACTTTTTTTTTTCAAATAACCAAATTCTATCATAACATTCGTGTTCTCACAATTCTTAAAATTGCTGATGAGACCCGGACGCTATATGTTTGTTATGGTAGGAATATAACATTCGAATAGATAGTATAATATCGTTTTCTTTTATAGGCAAATCGAATTTGTCATTCTTCTTCGCAGGATATATCCACTTGAAATTCATTCCTCTTCTTTTTTATTCATTCCTTCGTTCTTCCACGTAAACGAATGCATTACAGAGAGACGTACTTGTTGACGTGAGCCCATAATTATTCTAAATAATTTCGGGCCTCTGCACACGATAACGTTCTCTTTCTCTTTTTCTTTCTTTTTCAAGAAATTATTCAAATGCAAATTGCATTTCTCAACTACACAGAGCAAGGTGCTTGTGGATAAAGAGCTTTTGCCATAGTAAACGTATCAGCTAATAATATACATTTATATAATATATATACGACTATGCTACTATTGTACGTTCAAAGTCTGTATTTAGTGCTTCGCTATGCACCCTCACCAAATGATCTAAAATCAATGAAACAATCATGCTTCATTTAACCCCTAACTGCCGTCGTGAGAGACAGTTACGTTTCAACGTCGACATTGGACATGGGTTCCAATGAACCCACGGCATCAGTTAAGAGTTAATAATGTTCATAGAAACATTTTCAATCTTATTGCTAAGTTATTAGAAACGGTTATAAGTAAAATGACTGTTAATTTTTCCTTCTTCTCTCTTTGTCTTTCTTTCTTGTCAGAAACGCACAACGCTAAGTTCCATTTTCATTGAAAGCCTTCAAATTTTATATTCGCCACGCTTAATCGACTAATTTATATGATACGTAAGTCTGCGTTCGATCCTATTTAAAAAGTGGTTCTTGTATTTCATTATTGTATAATCAATTGTATTAACCAATCGTGCAATGAACACTTACTAGTATTCGATAGAGGTCGTGTAGATGGATTTTAAAAAATCACGACAATTTCCTCCATCATCCATATCATTAAGTCGCGAAATGCGCATATTCATATGAATTCATAGGACCAATATTCATGCATCTTTTAATGATTGTAAGATGAGACAGACTTTTTTCCCGTATAACGATTGAATTTTCTCAATGATCCATACAACGTTTAAATGTATTTTTCTTACCTTGTCTAGTTAGATCAATAGAGTATATAGATGTCATGAATGTTTAATGAACTTGAAAAAGTTAGATTCCTTCAATGAAAATTTACACACGTGATGATACTATCGCTTATGAAATCTAATTTTTTTTTCCCATTTTGCCTTGTCCACTATCGACAAGCAGCGTACGTATATAAGATGGTTCCTCTTCTGGTAGAAAATCTATTTACAACTCACTGTATTTAGCGTGCCTTCGCGAAACGACAAACTGCCTTCGATGTTTCTTCTTATATTCCGTAGACAGTAATGGCGTCAGTGATTGTTTTTAATTTATCAAGCTATACTAAACTGACACGAGTAGTAGATACATGGAGGTACAACAACGTGTGCAATGAACCTACGTAAAAATTGGATAATGCGTTAAATTCTTATAGAGTACGTTTTATTGCGGCAAATCAACACTTACTATTCTACAATTCACAAAAAAGAGACTCGATCATAGTTTACTTATGTCTACGATAATTGTCAGATTGCGTGAGAAGAGTATTGCACTTGAATGCGACGAGTGCAAGAATCATGTTGCGGAATCTTTACTCGATTCAAGAATTTATATTTACATTACTTTGTTTTCTGTCTAAGAGTAAACGAAGCTCTTACCGCTCGTAGCAGTCTGTACGTTAAGCCTCCCTGTATTAAACATCTGTAGCTTATATATATATTTTTACTGGAATGTATTAGCGATTATTCGCCAGGGCAAATTTTACACCTAACGCGAGCACACGTGTGTGCTGATGAAGATTAAGAACTCGCCAGCTTTTACGTGTTTATGGAAAAGGCTTGTTAGAATGGCGAACTGAATATTACATTGTAATTGTAGCAATTCGTATAGATATTAGAAGTATATTGGCAGGGGAACTGGTGTGCCAAATTTTTGGCACTCGACTCTAAGCAATCGACCTGTACCATAAGCTGCGTTTCTTCATAGGGTGGAAAGTTAGAAAGAAAAAAGGAAATAAAAAGATTAATGTCAAATTCCATAATTGGTACGACCAGTCGAAATGGTTGCCTTATTATATACATGCCAAAGAGAAGTGTGTCACGCAAAAAATGCACAAAAAAGAATATTTTACAGAATCATCAATAAATTTGTCGTAGCTATTCATTACCTAGATATCTATACGTTCATTGGCTATGTTCAACAGAAGGGATACTAAGGGAGCAAGAACATTGAATTGATCACTCAACTTTAAATCTTGAAACGAATGTAAAATTTCACTAATCGTATTTATTTGCTCCGTCAGTCCTGTTTCTGCTGAATGCAGCTACAATTTGTACGTATTAATGATGTACGTGAAGGATTTTTTTTTAACTAGCTTATTTAAATAAACAGCTAAATAACATATGCATCCTCCACGTCGTCTTATTCTTCGCTAATAGAGATTTCATTGCTTATCCTATTCCTTATGAGTACACTATAACGTAACGTGTAAGAGTAGATATACAAAAAAGCAAGAGCCTATATCAGACAGATTAATGATCTTTGTTGTAATAAATATCACGTAATTACATTTTACTGGACAGTGTGTATGCTTATGAAATTACTTTCAGCTCTCTCAGGTCACTTATATTATGTGTCTCATAAGAATAATTATTTCTAGGCGCTCCTACGATTTTCCTGACAATTCACAAAAATACGTCAGACTCGTGAATACCCTCTGGTACAAAAAATGCACAGAGGTCATCATGTAACAAAATGATAAAGGCAAATGAGATTCTATTTGGTAACAGTCATCTAGAAGATCACGTTTAACGTGTATACCAATGGCCGTCTGTCAAACACATTTAGTAACCGCACTAACGGTTTCCATCTTAGTCACAATTCTATCTATGAAATAAGAATCTGAGAGTGATCAGCAAACCGGATATAATCGTCAGTATGCTGGGAAGGAGACCGGAAGCCGGATTACAACCGTCCCCAGTACAGGTATAGATGCACGTGCGATACGTAAGTTTGTCTCCAGGTTGACGCACGTATTCGCAGGAATTGCCCCGATCTTTGGATGAACAAAATCGTTTGGTACCAATTCCATCTGTAAGTACAAGACATACGTGATATTACAAGAGTGAAGTCGAGGAAGATCCTGAAATGTTAGGTTAGCCAATCCGATCCAACGAGAGAGAGAAATAATATTTTATTACAATAGGTCAGTAAGCATGCATGGAGATTTTATGATGCAAAATGACTTGGAAGAAATTTTAAGACTATAAATCGCTCCTATCTTTATTAATTGACCTCCATATCTCCCCACAGATTTGATGCAGTATTTAGCTTCGAAGATGTGGTCGCAACTTTGTGGCTGAAGCGCTTCTACGGTCAAATCACCATCCGTGCATTTCCATTCGTCAGCTGTTGCGCACTGGTAGCATTCAAGAGGCAGCACTCCGTTATAGAGAGCGAAAGCATATTAATTTCCACGTTTAGTAACGAGTATAAGCATATTGATTGTTACACTTTGGGTAGGATTAGTTTTATAATGCTTAGGGAAATGCGTGTGGGAAAAAGGTTAATTAATTTTTAAGCATCCCAATTCCCATATGTGATCCTGAAACCAATAGCGCTTGATTACAGTTAATGAGTCTCGTTAGAAATTTTATTAGTCGTCCATTTCTTATTTCTCTGTCACGTGGTACAAGTTTCATTTACCCTCCAAACGGCCGACGACTTTAACGCAGTATTGAGCGCCATAAATTTTATCGCAGGGTTCTGGCTTCATATCGATGTCGCTCGATAAAAATTCAGTGCACTGAAAAGGGTTGACAGTGCTGCTACTGGTGCACTGGTAACACTCGATACTTTTGGCTAAAGGGATAAATCAAAATTCAATGAAAATCATCGTCGATGAGAAATGATACGGATGATTTCGTGAGTAACGTTGATTATCGATATAATGCGATTTTGATCGATATCCTGGCGTAACCGCATATACGAATTCACTCTCGTGTGAATAGACAGATAATGCAAAATCGAAATTACCATGGGCTATTTCAATCGACTGAGCATCTTTGTTATCAATGTGGGTAGTCAATAGATAATAATAGCCCGGTAATAGATTATTCTCCGTGAGAAACAATGTTGGTCCATTTTTTGTTCATACATATTATAATGCTAGGGATCCGATTTAACTGCTGTCTTTATCAGTTCAAAGGAATTTTTAGATTCTGCACGATGCACGTTCTCCAAATATCGCAAGTCGACTTTACAATAGTTTAATGGGACGTTGAAGTGAACCAGCAGATACTGTCAGTTTTAATTATGTACAGTTGAACATTGAAGTGTTATCAATAGGATTATCAAGAGGTCAAGAGTTATCATAATTTTGAATAAAAGAGCTACACACTCAATGGAAATTTATTGCAAACAGTAAACGATATTCGTCATGAATAAGACTGATTAACATTTATTTTTAATGCCTTTTGAACATCTTATCTGTTACAACAACAATACCGTGACTTTTGTATAACAAATTCTTAAGGCGCAGTCTAATGATTAATCTCAGTGCTTCAGTTAAGAGTGAACATGGCACGCGCTCTCGATACGTCTAATGAAAAAATTGTAAAGGAAAAAAAAAATGATAAATGAAACGAGAATTTAACAATACAAAAATGATAATGCCCCGCCCAGACGCTTCTTCCGTTTCGTGACAGTGACGCCCTTACTATACCATGAGGGGAACTCACGTTCCATAAAATGAATGTGGTGAACCGACTCAGGTAAGGACTTACCTGGTTCAAAATGAAGTGTAAGAAGCGCGAAGAGCGCAAGCCACTTGCACCCGATGTTGGCGTCCATTATAAAATTCGAAAAGGTGCGTAATAATTTCCAGGTTGAATTCACAAATGAGTTAACGTAATAAACACCTGTTTTCACTGTTTCTCACGTGAAATGAAAAACCTGCCTGCGCTAGTGTCGACAAACCGATGCCGTTTGAAATGGCTTCTACGTATGACAGACCTGATTCACTGCTTTGCCATGAAAGAGAGGAGTGGGGTCGACCAGACTATATTATATACTATAGTGATTTCAGCTGCTCGTTGCCTTGTGCTTCTAAATTTCATTATGCATTTACTGAACTTTGGAGTATGTGTTGTTACATTGAATTTAATGTTGTAATTGAGACAGTGACATAATCGAAAGAACTAAAGATATATCATAGCGGAAAAAAATTCTACACAAATTAACAAAGGCAACAACTTTTGCCGTTATAGACTACAACTTATCACAATATTTTAAATACTTGTAATTGATAATACTATTTAGTAGAATTTTCCTACGTGTATTTAATAATAATTTATTGTAGTTCTTTTGATAGCTAGTTCTAGTCTTTTCTTTCGGAGTGTATGTGTATATATGTAACATATATGTTTGTGAGTGGGAGACATGATTGCATTAATTAGGAATTATTAAAGGAAACTATAGTCGGGTCGCTACATCAGTTTCACTTTGAGGGGACTTATTTGCAATTTGAGTCGTCGGAGAGATGGCTCCTCAAACTGAAACTGATGTCACGGCCCAACTATATATTAATATTCTTTTTTATTGGATGTATATTGTATTTAAGAAATTTATTTTTATACAGCGAGCAGTGCACTCTTGGAAATAGTATATAGTTTTTATATGTAATATATATTATATTAAACTCGATACGATGTAACAAATGGACCACATGCCTTGGCGTTTGTAGAAACAGTTTCGGTAACAAGATGTCTGCTTTGAGATCAAAGAAATATAATTCCGACGGGATTGTGGTTTTATTGATTATTCTGGCTTTATTGGAATATACGTAATTCCGGTAAAAAACGATGAGCGTTGCTCCATTTCTCTGAGAAGTGTATATGTATATATATATAGATTCATACATAGCTATTCCGATTATCAAAATCCGTCTGATTTTCAATATAAATAGAAACGTCAATAATTACATCTCAGATGTTATTGACACATAGAACAATATGAGGAACAAGTAATTTTATAATAATTCCCATTAAATATTAAAAACGAACTTGTGTGAAGTTCCATAAATCCAGATCTCAATCAATGATTTCTGATCTAGCCAGATCATGGTTCAATGATTTATCATTAACTAATTGGTTTAAATTCTTTGCTTTAATCTTGGAAGACTTGTTTGATTTTGTCTGTTCGATCTTCATGCATTGCTTTCTGGCCCTGCCGAAAGCACTCTTTGCACTTTGCTTGTTACACAAGAACAAAGCTTTCGATGATGCCTTGGATGTTGTTTTCTCCAAACTGGATGCCTTCGATGACTCTCCAATCTCTGGACGAGTTTTTGAAAGTTTAGGAGACACTACCTTCAATCTTTTAGTGCCCTGTTTAATAATGCTTGTTTGCTCAGTTTGTATCGTTTTTTTAATAACATTATTAAGAGCCAATTTTCTCCCAGGACGCTTATGCCATTTTAACGGAGCTGGGAAAACAGATCTAATATTCTCAAGATTCCTTGTCGCTGCAGGATAGTAATCTGATGGTTTAAATAATTTCTTCTTAATGCCTATCCCAGGCACTACCATGGCTATGGTCTCCATATTGTTGCCAGCCTGACTCTTTGAAGTTTTCGAATTGACAATCTGCCTTGGCTTCTTAGTGCTCTTTATCCTCTTTACAACTGTGTAAAGACTCGTTGGCCGACGTGCTTTACTTGTCCTCTTAACAGGGTTCAATTCACTCGTAGACAAGCTGCTTCCATCATCCTCAGGAACACAACCCAGTTTTGGTCCAAGTGCTTCAACCAGTACTGTATCCTGTGCTGTAGTTGTAGTAGCATTCTGCGGACAGAAATACAATTGTTTTTGGATCCTAACAAGACCACTGTACATTCCGTCTAGAACGAACATTGATTTATATTTAATAACACTGAACACATTGATTTTATGAAGAAATTTGTGAGAGAGAGATTCCTGTATATTTCCAATGATTGATTACGATGGCGAGACAAACGCTTGTGAATATATTTACAGTAATTACAAAGAAATAAAATAAATATAATAATCGCTTCATAAAAATTACCTGCGCAGCAATGTATACAGAGAATATTTGTAACATCAAATAATAAGCGGATATAAGATATCGCAAATAAGCTCGCGTTAGTTGCTATGTATAAATGACATGATGAATTTAAAGCAGAGAAGAACACTATGTAGCCTATTTCAAGAAAAAAGTATTTTCAATTTTGTACATCAGGGTAGCTTGATTTTTTCTTTCATGTCTTTGAAACAGAGCTGGTATAACATTGGGACCAGTTAGGACAAGCAGGTGCAAAATAAAATTAAAGCAAATAAATGCGTACTAATAAACTTTAAATTTATTAACACAGATATAGATATAAAACGGTACATTGTAAAACGCAGTACATTGATTGTATAAGTTGTACTCTGCAAAGTGCAAATTTACCGTCAGCCTTGAAAGTTACCTAATTGAATTCTGAAAAGCAGAAAGGTGTACGTAAAAACCTCTAATTCATAACGATAAAAGAAAAATCAAGAATTGGATACCGTGTGAAATTGAAGAATGATACGAACAAAAGGATGATAATCGTATAATCAATAAATACAAAGAATGAATTAAAAGCAACGTAATTAAAGTTCAAGAGAGATCAAGATTTTAACTGTAAATAGGAAACAAACAATACAAAAAGGTAATACTGTTGAATTCCAGTATTTTTAAATGTCTATCATCAATTTGATTCTAATGAATAGGCATCCAATTCCAGTTTCATTCGTTAGAGACTTCGTTTCCATTTTCTACGTCACACAACGATTCGTCACACAACTTTCCAAACAGCTTTAACAGACCCAACAATTTCTATGAACGCTCACACTGAATTAGAATTTTATTTCTTATGATACAGAGATTTACTAAGGTTTTTCTGTTTTGTTCTCTTGGATCGGCATGTCCTAGCTGAACAAGTCCCCATCACCCAGCGACATAACTCATTGACGACACATATCATTACGCTGTTTTTCGCTAAAGAAATGGACATCGTTAATTACATAAAGATACGACTATCAATCGCAATAGCTCATTGATACTTTTATTTCTCTTATCTTTTGTTTTGCGCTTGAAATGGCAACACAAAAAGAAAAAAATACGACTAAAATCGAGTTCTGAATAAACTTGCATTGCTTGTAGCTATCTCTACATATACTCTAATACAGTAGAACCTGGATTTATTCGAGCATGCACTATTGAAATTCGTAATTATTCGAGCTGGCATCGAATTCGCCTGACTTTGTGTTGTTCAAACTACAGCAGCTAGTAACTCATATTATCCAAAGCTTATCAAAACGTACATTGGCAAGTGTGCGACATACATCCAGTGGCACTTTCACAGTAGACACGATTACTCGTGGCTAATTGCATAAAATGTTACTTCATTAAAAAATTGAATCCATTTTATCGAAGTTTTTCGATTATCCAAACTCGGGTTGGTACACAATACCTCGAATGATCAAAGTTCTACTGTATATTGCAACGATTGGCTAAGAAAAGCCTACAGTCAAGCGATACATTCGTCTTTGGTAAATCTAAATCGTATAAAAACACAGGATAGGCTCTAAGATAGAAAGATCGTATAAAAGAGTCAAAATGGACAAGTACAATGAAAAAGTACGTGGAAATATTTATTTGCAAAACGACGAACTTATGGAATTGTTAGAATTAGGTATAAATGGAGAGACGGTCATACCTACGAGGAGCGCACATATTAATTAGCTGTTCGTTTTGCAAAATTGTCTATTAAGAGAAAATAATATGAAAATATTATTGTCATGCCAGTCGACTGAAATAAATAAATTAATTGATTGGATTAAAATAACTTAACGGCACTAGAGATCTAATCCACTAGCTTGTACTAAAAGCACGGGATATAGATTAGTTGCAAATTAATGATTTACATGGGCACTGCCGCCCTGTATACCGTTTATAAAAAAAATGCAAGTTCAAGTATAGCTTCCAAGCTTGAAGAGGAACTTAGAAATAATGAAAATAACTTATGCAGAGAGTCGATGGTATATTCTACTGCAATGAATTTATGAGCTTAAGCCTTTCAATATGTATGACATATGTATATGCATGTCGGTTGTGCCTACCAAGTGGATAGGAAAAAATAACGTATAAATAAAATCTCTCTCCCACTTTCGCAGTCGTAACGTAAAGCCACTTTACGTTTTAGTTCAATTGATTATGCTCCTTGGCACAATTGCACGAACAAACACAAACGTTATAGCAACACGTGACGTAAATTAAGAGACGACACACTGTCTTATCTCAGTCTCTATAACGTCATTTTCATTCTCTGCGTTTGGATTTACCTTATTTAGCGGCTTGTTGAACGAGGCTGTAAAATTGTTCACGTACGTTAATTTCAAGTAGGTTCTTACGCCTCTCAGTGAACGATATTGGCTATTGGGTAGTCGGCTGTTTGGATTATTATTCGTCATATCAAGAATCGATGGACCTAGTGCTGCGCCAACCTGTGTGGAGTCACAAAGAGTAGAGTAGAGTGAAAGAGTAATACTTGTAAAAAGTAATACAATATTGTATTCGTTGATAAACTACAACAACTAATCAATGATTTTACCTCTTCGAACACTGCCGGTGTATATTTAGGCGGGACGAACATATGCGCCTGATTTTTATTAGATCCATCACGAATCTTTGCTGGTATGGAATTGACCAGTCTTCCCGAATTGTAATTACACTCTAAAGTGTAGCTGCGAACAAGTCCTGTCAATTTATGTACCGCCACTCGACCTGATCCTTCTCGTGACATACCGTCACGCTTGTCACTGTACAAATCAGAAAAATAATTTGTTAAATATTATATGGAACGTAGACTTCCCAGGTTTGTATTGCAATGGGTCCATTACTTACATAAGATACATATTTCTTTCAGCAAAGTTGCAGGAGGTGAAGTGAAAATTAGGATTATTGATGGACATCAATTTCGGAAGTAACATGCACATTATTGTATCTTCAGGGTCATCGAAATAGTTGCCGTACATGAAGACGCCCTTCTTCGAGGCGTGACCATGTAGGTCAATGTATAAGAACAGTCCAGAATCTTCAGGTTGCACTTTTACTTGTCGGACTGCAGTAGCATCTTTTTTGTTGCATGCATCCGCTGAATTTTCGATGCTTTGTTCTACGGTACGAGAAAGGTCTTCACCTTCTGCTATTCGAAAGAATAAGCAATGCCAGATAATGAGTGGATTTGAAATTGCAGAAATCAATCAATTGAAAAATTTAATATTAGTTGCAAAAGGAAGTATACTAGAGTAATGAATTTATCAATGCTAACTTATAGAAAGATATTAAACGAATGTAGTGATTCTTGGAAAAGCTTACCGTGCAGATTAATTTTTGTAATTTCTTTGGAAGATTCGCAACTGCGTTTGGATTCTGATTCGCCTATGTTTTTTTCATCAAGCGTCATTGACGTCACCTGTTGCAAACCGAGAAACCAGATTTAGATTTAGATGTTGGAAAAGAACTGACTGCTTATATATAGATTGCATATTAAAATTTTTTACAATTACCTGTTGGAGTAACTTATTTGTTGTATCTTTAATTACGTTTAGTAAAGATTCATTTATATCTGATGCACTACCACTGTTCACGTCTAAGCTAATATTTTCAAATTCTTTTTCCGATTCCATTTCGTCTGGTAATTCATAACAGTAATGATAGTATCTAGAAGATAGGTAATGAAGTGATCAGTAGTCATAACTTAAAAGTTTGCAAATATTGTAAATTACCTGATTAAAGCTCTTGCAGCGTATATTGTCGGATGATTCTTTACTGAAGGATTAAGATACACTCTATTTAAGTTCACACCCCTTGTATCCATCCGATAATGACCTCTGACCACACCATCAGGGTTGAGCATCGGAATCATTTTGAACACATATAGACGACGTAGATTGATCGCCATTGGATCATCTTGAGTCAGTAGTAAGTTGAGGAAACCGTTAAAAACAAAACTTGAAGGCGTCTCGCCTGGATGGACCCGTGCGCTTACAAAAATGACCTACGCAAAGATGTTTAATGATGATTGGTTACTAGTTAAGAATATTTTCTTACGGATATTTTTTAAACAAATAAACGAACCTTCTTTCCCTTAAATTTAAAAGGCCTCTCCTCGTTCTTTTCTGGAAACATATTTTTCAGCCTATCCTCTCTCTCCGTGGATATGTTGTGATGCGAGCTTATAGTGAGTAGGTCGAGTCTGCGTCCTTCCAATGACGTTGTAGCACACTCTCTATGATAATAGATATCATCCGCAGTGACTGTATTTTTTTTAATCATTTTAGTACCAATCTTTTTCAAATATTGCTGAAGATCAGTGTACGTAAATGGATAGGTGAAAGCGATGTAAGTGATGGCCTTAGGATTTTCAGATGTACGGTATACAAACGATAGTGTGAATTCACTACCTTTGTGATCCAACTATAATTTAAAATTCTTATGAAGATTAAGCGTTTAAATAAGATGAAACTTATAGCAAATAAAATTAGATATGTACACTGTAGGTAGGCTTCTCTCGTATTCTTTCCCACTGAGGATGACCTGGTATGGTTTTGTATACTGGACACATACCCTGACTAAACATTTTCACCTGTTTATTAAGATTTACCACATTGATCTTAACATAAGCACCCTGCACACTTGCTTTGACGCCAAAATGAAACCAGGTCCTGTTGGAATTTTGAAATTCAGTTCCATGGCAATCGTGCTTAGTCCACACATTAAACTCATAGTCCGGTGCTTCTTCGGAATCTACACTTTTACAGGATTTACCCTCATTCTCGCAACCATCTTTAAAACATAATAGTTATAAGTAATACTAATTTACAAATATCCAAGAAAATGTTATATTACCATTGTCAGTTGTCTCGCTTCTTTTGACCTGTTCAACCTTGGCTAAATTGGCAGAGTCAAAGTTGTTATAAAACACGAAACTGCCACATATTATATCTTCCGTTGCGGTTGCCATGGTACGACACACGTTACATGATTTCCTACAAAATATTTATTTGTCAATATCGCTCAGTCTCTATAAATCAATAAAAACAAAATTTCAAATTTCATAAAACAGCACCAAAATCTTTCCTCTGTACATACTTGCATGCCAATTAAAGGCTTCAAATAATTTTCATGAATAAAACCATTATAAATTACAAATAACAAAGCGTAATTGCTATTATTGACAGTTCTTGACAGATCATATGATTTCTATTTACATCTCCAAAATAGTGACACTTTTCTAACAAACCTTTCTGACAACGAAAATATCCTTTCTTCTCATGTTTCTTCACTAACGAATATTCCATAAATTCATTTTCATGACGATACCGTGTGTATTCTTTTCGAATGACTTTAAATATATTTGCTTTTCATAGTTTTATTCTTTATGAACTTACGGACGAGTCCATTTCATTAATGTTTTTTTTCCACTGGCCACAACCACGAACTAGATGCTTATGAAGAAAACCAACTGTATGTGAATGTTGCATCTGACGACCTTCCCCCGGAATAGAAAAGAAAAATTCAATGGTATATATATACATATAGATTACTAGTGTACAAATATATAATACATGTAGGATCTGAAAATTGGCCTACTTTTTGGAGCCAGCCGGGCAAGAGGTTCATCTCCCTGCTAATCTTACCTCGTGATCTGTTATTATTACACCATTCAACGTCGATAATTATAAATTCAGCATTCATGACACAATCGATAAAACAGAATGTTAGGATTTGGGTAATACGGAATGCGAATTAAACCTTTTTCTAGTTTAAAACAAATGCAAGAAAATGATGAGCAGTGTATTATTTATTAAAATATAAATTTTGGAATTCATTGTTTAATAATACTTACAACTATAGCACTTATATTCCAATTGTTACACAATGTAGAATAACGTGTGAGAATACATCATTTTTTGTTCGTGCTTTTAGCAAAGCATTTGTAAGCTATTATAAGAAATAAAGTTCTATGTTCTAGCATCATAAATCACAAAAAAAATTATTCAATGAAATGTGATATTCTTTTGTTCAACATTCAGAATCGGGACGCTTATCCACCCACGCCTTGATGCTTGGAATCGCCAAAACTTTATCCTTCAACTGTTTAAGGTTTGGGTACTTCTCAACCAAGTCGTATGTGGCCATGAAATTTAAATAATCCAGAATTGCAACAAAATAGATGTCAGCCCAAGTGAGGGAACCTCCGACGAAATATCCGCCATTTTTCTTCACCTGAGCGTCAAGACGCTCCAGATAAAATGGAACCAGTTCGTCAGCGACCTTGCGTTTTTCTTTTTTAGCTTCTTCATTCGCTTCATAGTGAGCAGCTCCAAGTCCTAAAAGAAAAAATAGTTGTTATAATGTCATATCACAGCAAAGATAAAGGAATATTAAAAAAGTTTATTAGAAAGTTGATAATAACCCTGATTACATGAACATTAATTTATCAGCTGATAACAGAAAGCTATTTGTAACAAACTGTAATATTTATAATGTGCAATCCATTCTGATAAATCAAGATTAGATTAAAAATTGTTGATCATTTGAAGAATTGCTCCTAGGAGATAATTTTCTGTATATCTGTGTAATGCAATATATTTAATTATATAGTGTTATCGTGCTACTTTCACTTCAATATAACAAGCAGGATTGGTGGATAATTGCGCAACTGATTTCAACTTAACAGTTATTATGATATCAATACATTGAGGAGATAGTAAGTTATATTTTTACTTACTTGTTCGAAGATCATTAATGTTATCAACGGCTACATCAATTTCTAAATTCTGCCAGTCATCTTTGCCAGTCAAACCAAACTGCTTAGCAAGATACCGACAAATGGCCATAGATTGATTAATCTTTTTACCATCAACTTCTAGCACCGGTACTTGGCCAAATGGCATAGCTGTAAGATAAAATAAAAAAAACGTAAAAATACATATGAATCCAAAGTTATATGAGAAAAAGAATGTCAAAACTATGAAATTTATAAATATTCAACAGAAACCATCATAAAGAATAGCATATGTTACCAGGAAACACAATGAAGTCATTGATTTATCAATTCTGTTAAGTTATGATGAATCAATCCTATTGTCCTGGCCAAACAATGCTCACAGTTCAAGAATATTTCTTAAACTGACTAAAGAACGTTCGTAATATTAGCAATACTTACTAGGTTTCAAAGCAGGCCAATTCGCTCTATCAAAACGGTCATCAATAAACTCGACACCACCATAGCTCAAAAGGAAACGAATAGGCTCACCCAGAGCCTTAACAGGAAAATAAGTGACCTTGTAGGTAGGCATCTTTTCTGTAACAAATAAAATACAATTTCTAAATTTGATCCAGCACGCAATTAATCTCATACAGTAGTAATAAAATCAAAGTCGATGGAAAAAATATCATGACAAGCCTGTTATCAATATGAACGCTATTGTAACGCAAGCGTGGTTGAAGAAAAACAGAGAAAGCAAATATATAGATATAATTCTCCGTATCTTTGTCTACACAACTTATAAGCAGTGCCGTTGCGCTAGTTTACTGATAAGCTTATTTATTTATGATTACTTAACCATTGCTAGAAAATTCGTAAATACTTTACTATCTGGAAAAATTAATGTTAACTGATAATCACTACAGCTATCAGGTTAGATATTTGAAAGTCATTTTTCCGCAATCTTTCTTTTAATTATACAAACAGTTTTCCAAATTTTTTTTATAAAGTCTTCACACACAAAATAACGTAACAATGTAAAACGTAAGCGTAAGAAAACCAGCCAATCAGAATCTAGTACTAAATTCTGATTAGTTGGTTTCCTTATGCTTACCGTCTTACGTTGTCGTTACGTAGTAATTTTTTATGTGAAGGGCTTAATTTTATTCCAGTCTATTCTATGCATTACTGTTTCCTGATGATAATCCCGCTCAATTTTTCAATTTCAAATGATTGTACCTGAGTAAAGCTTAAATATGTATAATTACATATGCCAAATTTCATTCATCCATCTTTATTAGTTTTTTATTTTATATTTTTTGACGATTACTCAACTTTTTAGGTATATAAGGTAGAAACTTTAACCCTCCGTCGGACGCGGGTGGTCTCAGGCACAGCGATCACGTTTCAGTTTGCCACCCTTTTAAATTTATTCTTTTGGTTTTGAATTTGTAATAAATAATAACTGTTTTTAGTTTTACTTTACATATTTCTTTTGAATACATCCCTACGAAGGTAAGCAGTTTGGATTTTTAGCATAAGATATTTTAGTATAGATTTTATACACGATTTTCGGAAATGAGCCTCTCAGGCACACCGCGACTGACCTAAGGAGTTTTTGAGGGGCACCCGACGGAGGGTTAAAAAACAATTCTATTAAAATGAAATTGGTCACTTTGAATTAAAAATTTCAGCATCTAAAAATGGCTAATGCGAAGGATTTACATGCAAGTCATAGAAGGCAGAAATGAATGAATCTCCTTTGCTCTGTAGCTGTTTCTAGAAACATCTGCACATAACAGTCATTCTATTTTACATCTATTATTACCTTCAATCACGAAGATAACGTGGACAATATAAATCCTAAATGAGTGTTTTTTTTCATACAAGATATTTTTTCATTTTTTTTTTTTCTATAAAATATTACAGTTTCAAATTGCAAACTGATATTCGGCCTTTAATAAGAAGAGCTGAGAATAAGAGTAAAAATAAAGGATTATAGAAGTCAAGGTCACTTTCCGCCAGGACGTTGGACATCGATGGTTAATTTTATTGAAGATAAATTTTATGAAGTTACAGAGCTGCAATCGAATGGAACTGAAGGTCAATTTTATCAAAGTTAAACCTTAATCGAACGTATACAACGGCGAACAAAAGTATGGGCACAAGGCATACGAATTAAGAAAAAAAAATGTATGAATATTTCGTTGGCACTCCATTTCTTTTAAGCATCGCTTTCAATCTGATTTGGCTCTAAAACCTTACATCCGGTAAAAAAATATACCAATGGAAAACCATTAATAGCCTTGCAGTGTAAATGAAATGTTTGCATTTGGGGTATTTTGAAAGGACTTTACTTACCAAGATAAGGTGTTTTCACGTTTTTGAAGAAATTATGAAGTTCTATATGCTGGTATTTGCAATCGTCTTCACCTCCTACTGTGGCAAATTAGACTGATTCGACTGATTAAGTACTGCTGGTACTGCCGGTACTGCCAAAGACGTGCTCTCCAGTAGTGATCTCACTTCAACATGGCTGATAATGATTCTTTATAAACCAATCAGAATCAGTTTACGTAAGGTTATTCTGATTGGCTCATGAAAATTGATTATTCAGGATATTGATAAATTGCACATTTCGTAGTAGAAATATGAAGAATCATATATTCATTGGACAAAATTCGAAAAAATATACATCTTTTACCTTTATTTAATTTTCTTTATTTTGATTGAAAAATACCTAATGCAGAGTGCTAACGGAGGAGGTAAATGCGACACGACACCTACTTACAAATGGACTGTACCATTGGAATGCAATATATAGATATTTATTATATAAATCAGAATCGCGAGGCACAGAATAAATGGGTATATCGAATCTATATACATATTACCAGAGTCTAAAGTACTAAAAATTCGTATGATACTGTATACCATCATATGGTATCATCCGTATGAAAATGGTATGGTAACATCTATTGTTCATTTGGCCATCTACGTTTACAATTTTAATATTAGTATACGTTCTTTAATTGTTGTACGACATGTAATAAAAACAATTGCAATATAAATTTGTATATTATATGTAAAAAGGAGGAATTTTGAAGTTATCTCGTATACTATTACAGGATTACGGTAATTTTATGTCTTCAATTTTGAATATCCCCGCTTTCTGAGTCGTCGTCGCCTTTTTGAAAATGGAGTCAATTGCATTCCCTAAATTATCCATAATGGAAAGATTAAATGCGTTTAATATCGGAAGGGATAATTAAATTAATCGTTAACTTATTTTCTACGTTAATACCAAGTATATAAAAGTAATTTAGTCAATTCTTTCTCTACTTATATTCGTCATTAATCTTCCTCTTGTGGGGGTTTGGCATGGTGCTGTAGTTCTCTTTTCATTTTCGTTCAGTGAAATACTTGTGAAATCACGGTTCAAGAGCAACCAAGTAATTCAACATGCCGAAGAATAAAGGTAATTAAATAAGTTTTCACATTTGCATGATTTACTTAACATAGAAATGTTCGAAAATGCGAATATTTAATAATTTGAATGACCATTGCGATCTGCCATGCAATGTGGTTAGTTTGGCCTAACCTGCCAATGTCAACCTTGCTCTCAAAATAGTCGATACAACGTCCAATTTTCGTAATATTGATTTCCTGCGCAATTTTTCTTAATAGCAATTTAAAATTGCATTGATTGCTTTTAGGAAAGGGAGGTAAAAACAGAAGAAGAGGAAAGAACGAGAATGAAACTGAAAAGAGAGAATTGGTCTTCAAGGAAGATGGCCAAGGTGAGTTACTTCAGTAGTATATAAATGCCATAGTGAAAGTGCGTCACAGCTAAAGTAAAATCTGACTAAGCAATTTAATTTGCACGAGAAGATAAACTGGTTTTCATTTTGATTGATCTTACAAAATATCTTTCGATTTTCACAGAATATGCACAAGTCACCAAAATGTTGGGAAATGGTAGGCTAGAAGCTATGTGCTTTGATGGTGTCAAACGACTATGTCATATCCGAGGAAAACTCCGTAAAAAAGTGTGGATTAATCAAGGTGATATAATTTTGATTGGTCTGCGTGATTATCAAGATGCGAAAGCAGATGTTATCTTGAAATACACTTCTGACGAGGCACGTAACTTGAAAACTTATGGAGAATTCCCTGAAACTGGTGAGTACATTTGCTTATGTGTGTTTGTAGTCAATTTATTACATTTATTATTATTCCAACGTTTATGTGCAATTCTAATACTTGTATCTTTGTGCTTCTTTGTTTCAGTTCGTATCAACGATACTGTCACCTTTGTTGAGGATGGTTTCGACGAAGACATTGAATTCGGTGATGAAATCAGTGATGACGACGAGGATGATGTTGACAACGTAAGTACAAATGATACATTATTTGGGAAATTGTGAGAAAACACATACATGGTCATCTCTCCATCTTCATCGATCAGTTAATACTTTCTTGGTATTTGGGGATAATTTTTAAAAATTACTAAATTGTGATAATATCCATTTTAACAGATCTGATGAGCCAAATTATAAAAGGTGCTAGAATGGGGCGTCAAATATAGAATGAGGACATCTGAGAAAATGGTGAGAAATAAACATCTATATCACAGTCCAAGCGTCGTGTTTGCTTCTAATGAGTAACTGATTACTTGTACCTATAAATAAACCACCACGTTTTTGATCCACGTTGTGTTCTTGTCTGTAATTACACTTAATTTCAGGACGCGTAAGACATAAAAGAAAAATCTTGATATACTTTCAATAATTTCAAATCAATTAATCTCAATGCAATGTGAAATTTAGCGTTTAAGATCATTGTTATAATAATTTCAACAACGTGACGATAGTTTCGTATAAGATGTGAATATATATATGTGTAATATTAGTTTGAATACGTGAATTTTTTATGTGAACTTTTTATTCCGGAATTGATGTAATTCATTCGTTTGTTTACAGAAAAGTAATTTAGATAAGTACCGAAAAAAGAAAAGTATATACTTAGGAAGAATCGTGTAACTATCATTGAATGGGGGAAAAAGATCAAAATGTCTATAATAAAACCCATGCAATAGATCAATTGTGAGTGCGATACAATAGATATATGGGGATCAATTTTAAAGTTACATTTATGCTAAATTATTTCGCAGCTTATAGAACCAACAATTCATATGCAATCAAATACTTCAAGATTGGTCCCCTACGACAAGATATGTTTCAAAATCTAAGTTGCTGGAACTCTATCGATGCAGCGAAACTGTTAAATACAAAGATGACTCATTATGCGCCATAAATGATTCTTATACACAATTCGAAGTTGACCTAACAGCGCATTCGTTAAACAATAACGCGAACTGTGTCTTGGTTGTTCAAGATACCATGTCAAAATATCATTCATCTGTCTTATATAAAATTTCGTCGTCTGTGATGAGCCAACTTTAAATGAAATATCCAGTCGCTAATTTGGTTTCAATGTAAAAACAAATATGCTGATATGGTCGAGGTAATAGTTGTATTACTATCTAATTAGGTTTTATCAGTCTCATCAACTAGGTAGAAAATTTGTTCAATTTTACTTGTACGTTTAGAGAAACAATAAAAAAAATAGTCAAATTCACTACAGATCTTTAGATACGTATTATTAGCGTTCTGAATTCCTCCCTAATTTTCCTGTCCATTATGAAAAATGACTTTCATAACATTCTCAAGAATTGAAATAGTTCATGCTGCCACGTGACTGATTAATTCTTAACTCCTGTGTCATTTCTGTGATTAACAATGATTCCATCGCCAAGTGCAAAGTGTAGGTTCAGAGGTAACATAATATTTTATTTATTATGCTGTCATTGATAGCTCTATCACATAATAGTACAGTATGCCATTGATTTCTCCTGTATATTAACGTGACACGGCACCGTTTCAATATATTCCGGCTGAGTTTCTTTTTTCTCTTCAGCGTAAAACAAAGAAGAGAGCTGCTTCCTGTATAGTAGCAATGTTGTGGTCACCACAAAAACCTCAACTAAATCGTACAAAAATTACGAAAATTGTGAGCTGTGCTGGAGTGATACTGGTAATTTAATGTTTATTGAATCATCGTCTTGGAGTCTGTAAGTGATTGGAATGCCTACGTCTATAATGCCGTACTGTGATTCTCGATACAGGGTAATTCCGCTATTGAAACTTTTATGGAGTGTTAAAATTGGAAGATACATCCTGGATAATGTATCCAAATAACACAGTAAGTATTATAACGAATATATTGGTTATAATTAAGGTTCTTGCAAAGTAACAAAATTGTTCCTAATCCTTCGATGCATATCAAATAAAAACTTTGTGACCGAGAGAAATATTGATACCTGAAGAACAGTTTTGGTTTACCCTGTATAAAATTGAACACATTTAAATGCCAGTATCACTACGGTTGTAGGCAGATTATTATATTAAATGTCATAGTATTATTATAGGAGCAGTATAATATTTTAGTCGTTTCATGCAAGTGATTTGTGCCTTTGGTCCTTAGGTCAGGTGGGCTCTAGGCAAGTCTATTTTATGCTGTGTAATAGACAATATTATAACATAGATAATAATTTATAAATCTTGGATGTATACTCGTTATATTTTTTGCTTTCCTTCAATATAATATATATTTATATTATATATTAATAGAATATCTTTATGCTAGAGAATTTCTAAATATATATTATACGATTTCTTTTTCGTCGCCATCCTTAAATTGTGTTATACACTGAAAGCTTATGCCGCCTAGCCTAAGACAAATTGCGAGTCGTTCAAATTCATTGCACAACATATTTTCTCATAGCCACGAATAAAACGTACGAACGTCTTTGATTATACACCTGCAAGGATTTATTTTCATTTCTTGAATCCTCTGTACAAAGAAAATACGTTGCACTAGAATTTTCTATAGATTTCACAAATTCGATGCGAAAAAAACCAACGGTTCAGAACAGTCGTAGCTTCCTTCGCCATATAAATAAAATATTCACCGTGTCACAATTCTTGTAATTATTACAATCCGTACAATATAGTATACTCGTATATAAGTTATGCTAAGAAAATAATGATAATGTACACAATTAAAAATGGTTAGGAAATATCTTTAAATAAGTCAAATTTACATTGTATCATCTGATTGAAGGAAATGAAAAACCGCAGGCCGGCGATCGCCCAAGATTTAAAAAAAAAACGGTATTCAGAGTCTCGTATTAATATTATTATTGTGCTTAAATCCGCGAGCGATTAGAGTGACGGGCCTTGCGGAATTTTCATTTTCCTTTTCATTCACTTTAGAATCTTTATTATGCAGCGATGAAGCATATTTTTCATTATCTCGCCACCAAAAGCCGAAGCTCATTGAATCATTTTCTTAACAATACGAAAGTATTAACTTTTTCTTCTAGCAAGCGATGCATGTCGGACAGGCGTAATAATTCGACTAAAATTTCTCTCCTCTATTTTCTTTTCTTTTACCAATCGAATCCAACTGCTTGAGATAATCACGTTTGAAGATAAAATTTATATATATATCATGACCGTGTCTTATATAACTCCATTTCTAATGATCCATTTCGCTGCTTTATTATTACCTATTCATTCAAACGCAAGTAATATCATCTGATTTGTTCGTTACGGGACAAACATTCTTTATCGGTTCTTCATGACAAACAAGTTTTTCCTATTTTTCTTCCTCCTTTTACTTTTATCTTGACTGAACGCGTACAAGGAAAGCACTAAACATGGACGGGCTGGGCATAGTGAAGACTAGCAGGAAGCTAGTCGTACTAGCAATACATAATGTTAAACGCTCGGCAAACCAGACACAAAGTGAGGCAACCAAATAATAACAAAGATAGTTCTCAAGCCTAGGCCAAAGTCATTACGTAACTAGGTACGTAACCCTATTCCTATCTTAGGAAATTCTGAAGGAGCTCGAGGATACTCAATATCAGAATTACCAAAAGATATCATCTGAATTATGCGCTTGGAACAGTTTGTCGCACAAAATGTCTGTCCTCTTTTTTTCTCTTTTATAAGATAATCGAATGTCATAGGTATCTTTCCTTATGTATTAATTTAATATTGTATCTAATTATAGGATTTATTTCTCGTGGATGCTTCACTGGCCTCTTCTTTCTTCTGTCATGAACTGATCGACTATCTTCTGCATGGATTCTCGTAGCTCATCGGTACCAGCACCGACAGCACTGCCTGCTACAGGTACTGACATTGTCACCGTCCTCGTGGTTTTTGTTATTCTGTAATACAAAAGGTTGTTCAATATTAACATATTGTTTTGTTCACCCAGATACACGCTCTTAAACTGCTGTACACCATGAGCCAATTTTCGCCAAGCAAAATTAGGTTGGTACGCAGTCTTACAATTTATAATAATCAAATACCTTTCTTGTGTATCAGGATCAACCTCGATTGTGGTCGTTTCCATGAAGGATGGCTCGTTGTTTTGCAAAAAGTCAGATTCTGTGTAACAGACAAAAGTTAATGAAGCCAAGTCATTAGGAAGGCATGGTGAATTGGTCATCTCACTTTTTTTTGTGGGTTCTATCAACTCGCAGACAAACAAAATATATCACTGAATAGACAAATATATCAATGAATTATACTCTCTCAATTTTACATCATGCCCAAACAAGGGGTATAATATTTTTACTAGACACATATAAAAAAAGTCACAACATTGCTACACGGAGAGAATATTCTAGTAAAAATTGCAATGTAATGCAGGGTAAACCCGGGACAAAGTAGAATTTCGTACAATATTACTACAAAAAAGAGAAATTTTAGATAGGGCACCTAATACTTTTAACTGCGTTGGGTGGTAAAACTTTGAAACCTGGAAAATATGCTCAGAATGTTATAATTTATAACCACAGCTGAAATTGGAAGTAGTTTTAACCGACCATTAAAATATGTATGGCCAGTCGCAATTTTTACCCTGAAGAACAGTATTTTATGTTCGTACTGAAAATCGACAGAGAAACTACTAGATTTAACATAAATTTTCTAGTGGATTTGTATAAATTTTACCTACATTCCGACCGCAACATGAGTTTTATTTTGAGGGACCATCTCCTTACCAACCAAAATGTAAGTAAGTCCCCTCAAAGTGAAACTAATATAGTAAACGGTTCTTACCATCACGTCCCAGAGTTACTAGATGCATGGGTAATTTTTACCGTGCATTTCAGGGCAATATTTACTAGAAATTTCTCTCCGCGTGACACTTGACAAATACAGATAGTACGCACTGTCACTCAAAGTAGCCAATTTTTTAATGCAATTACTTTTCTCGGTTGTCTATGAATTATCAAGGCGAATTACTCCGATTCACTTTTTAAAAATAATTTTTCTCCCCTCAACGCATGTACACAATACATGAATTACTTTTCGCATCAGCAAGCATATATAGGTTTAATTGAAAAATGTTTCTTCATATAGACGCAATACTAATTTCAAATGAAAACTAGAAATAATTTACGTGCCTGAATAGAATACCGATAATTTCAGAAAAAAAAAAACTATTTCTGCTTTAAATAAAATGTTTTTTTTTTTTTCATAAAACTGTACCACACAATACAGAACGTTCTGGTTTTTCTTTTTTTTCAAATTGTGCTGCACGCAGCAAGCTTGTGTAAAGCGCGTATAAGCTACTAAAAAAAATAAAGCATTTAGCCGTTAGTCGTATATACATATGTGTATATATATTATATTGAACTTTTCTCGACAAAAGAAAAAAAAAGGAAGATATTTATTTTGGAATATATATAAATATATATAGTGCATATATAATTATATATATAACTGAACTAGTATGAAGATTCATGGGGGGACGGGGTCAGAGGGCGCGTACTAACTACAATGGTTAGTGTTGTTAGACGAATGATCAGTTACCGCTTCGTATTACTGCAGAGTAGAATTAGTCTATTTTACAAATTAGATATTCAGGCACTTTTATACAGCTCAGAGGTTTTCTGATTTGGCACAAATTTTGTTTTCGGTAAAATTTCAAAACATTTTCTCCACACGTAATGCAAATCTAGGGACAAGTAAGAAACAACGTTTGATTAGCGCAATCTTTTCGTGAAAGGAAAAAAGGTATCAATAACAAAAAAAAAAAGAGAAAAGATATAAATCATTGTAAAATTCCTTGCTTGTCCAAATATGGTCACTCGTGTACTTATCTGCCATCGTGGACTTCACAGTGACATCGGGTCCACGTACGTTTATTACTTTATATCATTATTAAAGTTTACTTACATGAGTATTCGCCTAACAATCCTAACATAATCAATACCTATAAGAAATATGATCGTTGGTCCCTCTACACTTTAGCTTTATCTTGAGATGTTTATTTGTTATAGGAGATCTAGAAGGATCGAGAAACGCACTAGAAGATTTTGGCTTAAAGGACTATAATAATAATAGCAAGAATAATAATGGCATCTCCAACGTGATTAAAAACTATAAGGCGTGCAGCGAACAACAAACGTTCATTATGCAACACGCAGCTTTTTATTATGCAAGCACTAGTTATTAATAAAGTGCTGATACTCTACTACGAAAAAAAAAGAGAAAAAGAAAAGTCAAGAGACGTTATGATAAGGTATAAGAAAACGCGTCAAACTATAATCATGCGATGTACCTGGGTATGAAGGTTGGGAAAAAAAGTTATCAAACCATGCAATATGCCAACTATGGACTAATTTGACTGGAAACCAATTTTATTTTTTTCATTTATTCAGAAAAAGAAAGCTTGTGCCTCTTGTGCGATGCGAGCGTTGCAGTATAGTGGAACCAATCTGCGTTACACGTGGGTAATATTTACCAATCTTCGAGGGAACTTGACCACGTGTCTAGCTTAGGAAACGTGATAGAGAGTAGTCTGTCAGGTAATAATGCGATCCTACGCTTAAAGAGACGTTTGTATTAAGTAACGAGATTGTAAAAAAAATATAAGTAAAGTATGTGTCTCCCTCTAGGACACACGCGGTAAAATTAAAAAATTAGACGCAATGGTCGGCAGGAGGTAAGTTGATCCGTTTCACCTGGCTTGAATAATTATTATTGAATGTAAAAATACCTAAGTAAAATTAATCGTATGTTAATCGTACCCAGCTTGCCTGGGGGCATGGCTGGACAGGGTGCGGTGGAGAGTACGCGGCTCCAGAGCAAGAAATAGTGCTAGCAGGGCGACCAACACCGCGGCTGCCAGGCTCATCCAACATACACAGCTGGTTCTACCACTAGTCCTCGTCTTAGGCTTGATCCCTATCAGATTGTTCTGCACGCCGGAGCAGGCCAACTCAACCGAATTGTTCTTTGCTGCCACGTAAACATTATGCTTTCCATAAAATTTTTAAAATTACTCCAGCTCTTTTGCTGACTGGTTATTCTCATTACTGTTTTATCGACTGTGCTTAGTATAAAGAAATAGCATAGTGCCTTTTAGAGATCTTGGAAGAAAATCATTTTGCTATTTGGCTGTCAGTCACCGATAAGTTTTTTAATATAAAATTTTAGAATTTCTTTGGGATCAATCGAAGCTTGAGTATTAGGAATCAAAATCATTGTTGTGCTGTATCGTTCTACTTCAAATTGTGAAACATGAGCTTCTGTACGAGAAGAAGATTCTATAACTGATGGTAACTAGATTATAAATTTTTATTTGCTCACATTCTTATGTAGTGATATTATATACAGTGATAGATTTCATAATGCCTTTGCTGCTATTTCATTATATTAATACAGTGAGGTTTAAGATTACACACTTAAATGGTTCGATGAGAATAAACTAAATTCCAGAAGCTCCCCTTCGCATGACTATTTTCCATCCCTTAGCTAGAGAATGTAATAACGACAAAGTTAATCATCTTCTAGAGCCATAATTAAACGATTCCAAGACCATGTCTGTCAGATCAGCAAACCGTTGGGTACACGTACTGCCCATGATTGACTGACAGCGAGAGAGGCTTTTATGTGAATCACGTGAAACGATCAAGCGAAACGATCTCGTTACAGTATATTTCTCAAATGGCAAAATCAATGAAAATACAGCATGACAGTTAATTTTGGGATTTTACAATAATTTTCGAAAAAGTTATTCTCAATGAGAAGCAATTACGAAGAAAGACACTGTAATATTACAAGCTTTTTTTTTCTGGTAGCTAAAGAAAAAACCTATCCAACTATACAAAACCGCTACCAATTTAAAAATTTGGATTCTACAATCAATAAGAATCTCATGCTACCATCATGCCATGCTATAATCATTCCTAAGCCTTATGATATAAGTTTCCATGCAAGTGTTTTCTCATAGGAGCAATGAGAAAATAAATAAAATATACATATGATATCACAGAGATAAGAAAAAACATGATAAGGATGAAGGACCTTGAATCGCAACAGCAAAGTCCTTCATAATCGACGGTGCAGATTGTGCAAGTTGAACGCAACCCGAGATGCCGTATAGTATAAAAATCCAAAGTATTGCATTCTGTCACGTTTTTTTCCTTGGTTATGAAAATGTTGTGAAATTCATTATCATTCAAGTAAAAATGCTTCCTGTATAGTATGTGCAGTATAAACCAAGAATTAAGCCACAGGACGCACAGACAAGACAACTCAACATCCTAAGTCTCCTTGTCGATAAAGATAAAAGCGTTAATTATTGAAATTTGTTAATCTAGACATACAAGCATGTCGCGTTACGATGAACACAGTGGTAATTATTGCTATAAATGTTGGTGAGTCCCACGTGAGTTAATATAGTAAATAACATGTTAGCGGGGTATGTACATTGCTTACTTAGAATGTTAGCTGTGAGTGAGGTACCTTGGTCGTCCTCCAATGGGGACAGCTCCGCCCCTTCATGCAGTGCCACATCCGATCCGCTAGAACTGCCCAGAGTTCTCCTCTTGCTTGGAGATCTTCTCCTTGGCTGTGGTGAACTGTCACTATCAGTGTCGCTGTTCATTTCGTGCCTTGAGTTACCATTCTTAGTGTATACATCACCATTACCAGAACCTGGTGAGATGTCCAATGAGAATTGGGTATCCCATTGTTCAGATCTACCATCACCAGACTTGGTCGTGGTCGTAGTTTCCCAAGTCTCCGGTTTTCCGTCAGAGGATCTTTTAGTTACAACAGTTTCCGTCCACGCTTCAGGTTCCCCAGCACCACCCGACCTTAATGTTCTCACGGTTTTTTTTACAACCTTGTCTGATACAACGTTACCGTCCTTGAAGAAGTCTCTCAATTTTTCAGGGTCCATGGTTCGATCTGTGCTGCTTTGGTCAGTTAGAAATTTCTCATAACTCTGGGTATCACCTCCACCGCTTTTCTCAGTCTTTATCACAGTGACCATCCTAGTAGTAGCAGCACCATCTTTCAGGAGATCTTCGTACTTCTCTGTTGGTACGTCATTTTCTGTGCTTGATTTTACAGTGGTTACTCTGTAACCACCGCTCTTAATGAGTTCATCGAATTTCTCTGGACTTATTTCCTGCCCTGTACTGCTTTGTATGGTTCTTACAGACTTTGTGATGCCACCGCTGGACATAAGCTTGTCGAACTCTTGGGGATCGACTTCCTCGCCGGTGCTAGTTTTTACAGTGGTCACCGTCCTTGCGAAGCCACCAGATTTTACTAGATCATCAAATTTCGCTGGGTCTATCTTTTCACCGGAAGTCACAGTGGTAACGACCTTTTTGGTATATCCACCGTCTCTTAATAACTCTTCAAGCTTATTAGGGTCCATCTCTTCACCCGTACTGGTTCTCACTGTCGTTGTAGTCTTTGAGAAACCTTCCTGAGCCATCATCTCATCTATACTTCTAGGATCTACAACTTCTCCGGTGATTGTCCTTACGGTTCTCACTGTCTTCACCACAGTGCCGTCATCCAGAGTGCGTGTGTCTTCAAATGTTTCTGTGTCCACATCTCCAACTCTTCTCTCACCTGGTGTTTCGATAATTCTAGTGACTTGCTTCACTTCAGGTACTTTTCCCTCTACTATTCTACTTGTGACTGTTTCCGTCGCAGTAGTCTTACCACCTTCCTTGCCAGATTCTTTGATCTTCACTGGAATCTTACTCTTGGGACTTGTTGGCTCTGTCGCAAGGTGTACCTCTTCAGCGACCTGAGTACGAACTTTGTCTGGTGACTTTGCTCCAGATTTCTTTTCCGGAGACTTGTGAGGCGCCTTGCCAATCAGTTCTGGTATTTTTGACTTGGTGATCTTGCCGGTACGCGAGGACTGTGTGTCCTCGAGCTCTAGACGAAGATCTGTTTTGGTGGACGGCTTGGTGGTGGATTGGCGTGGGGCGGGAACGGGTTGCTTTGTTGGAGCAGAAGTAGCATGCCTCTCTACAGTCCCATCAATCTCAGCCGAATCATGCCCTGACCCATCCAAAAGGACACGGACAAGAACAGGAACAAGGACATAAAGCATATTGATACACACTAATAATTTTCAACATCTAACCCAACTGCTGTTGTGGGACTAATGTAAAGACTGAACACGTCTCTCTTACTTTTATATAGGTAGAGTATATATAACATATATAGATCTGTGTGTGTATATATATATATAATTGTGGATTTAGGTTAAATTTTAGTTAGTATCAATATTGCACTAGGATTAGTATGTTTCATTTATAAAAAAACACTCATTAAACAGTGTCTAAATATATGCTTGTATTTTATAGAGAGATACCAGCAATTATTTTGTAGCTAACCTAACAGCAATGTATTACCAGAAACAGATACAGTACGTCTAGCATATTCATGTAATAAAGACTGTTTTCTTCTGACAGATTAATTATTGCTCTATCCGATTGGACTTTATTTAATGATATCTCTAATACTTGGTACCTTTTTATAAAATATATGCATGAAGTATCAGTTAGTGTGAAAGCGTCAGCAAGTGCTAACTATGGAAGATAAAGCTAAATATAACTGAGGGCACCAAAATAGTAGTCTGCTAATATATACTGAACTTTTGATCTATGATGTGATATTTCTTTTTGATTTTTAACGATATTCCCTTTCGTTTTCTTAATATACGTTACCTGGTCGTTTCTGTGGATGCGCCTGATCTGCGAGATCCTGGGCTCGTCTGGCAGCTTCCTCGGTCACATCTGAAACGTTTAATAATTTCGTGAATACATTGACACTGACCAGGTGAACATTAAAAGCAATGATTCAACAAAGATTAGATGAATGATGTGTTCCCTGCATGGCATACCTCGGTTTTCATGCTTCACTAGTCTGTGGGTTCCTGTTAATCGAATGAGAGATATTACTTACTGCATAATAATAAATATGTGATCTCTATTGTTATGCTGTACAGAGGTGGGATAATTACACAATGATAAATAAAGTCCCAGTGTGATGGTATGTATGACTTTAAGTTCAGAAGTTTGTCGATTGTTTTATTTGTATCTGTACGGCTGTGTCAAATTGTGAGAAACAGCGCAAATAAAACCTGAAAACATGCAGTAAACTCAAAATAAAAATTGTTAAATCAATGATAAAACACGAAAAGGCTGAAAATATATAATATGTACAGTGAATGAAGTGTGGGGTCTCTCGTCCTTCCGGTATTGTTTTTAGTTACATCGCTCATATCCAGTTTTGTTTTTCTGTCCGTGTCAACGATACATTCGTACCACAAAGTGATTCATCTTCTTTGATCCAATAGTGTCAATCGAAATGATCGGTCGAAGGTAAAATTTGTATTTCATCAAAGTACAATCGGAAGAGATCCACCCACAAATCTTCAGCATACCATCTTCTTTGATATACATAGGGATGACATTAATTTTGTTCCACCTGATCACTATCTTGGTCTGAATGTTCATGAGATTCGTTTAACGTGAGGAAACTGAATAATCAACCAGGTGATTATGGTTAGAATTAGAGTTAGAGGTAGGTAGAGAAAAAGAGAGATAAATATAATAACGTAGTGCTTGGGGTTATTTCAGTCGCCTCGACACGGCTGGTGTAAACTGAGGTTACGTAAAAGCATTAAACTTAATCAATTAATCATGTTACACACAGCTGGTATGTAATATGTATAACACAACTATTGCAAGGTACCTTTAATGCTACTGTCACTGAACTCCGCGGGGCTGGGTGGTGGGGTCGCCGTCCGCACAGACTTTGTTACGACTGTGGTGACGGTTTGACGTGCGCGAGGCTCAAGGTGCTCTAGCCTGCTCGAAACATCCTCGACTACCCTGTCGGATATTTCCACTAAGCTACGCTTCGTTTCCTTTGGCGGACTGATTTTCTGTGGAATGCGGGAAACTGCTTTACTCTTACCCTCGCTACCTGATCTCTTTAATTCTCCTACTCCTGAGAGCCTATCGTGCGATTCTGATGACTCGGCCACCACGTCTCTAACGCCGTCAGAATCCCTGAGCGGCGACGAAACTTCATAGCTACCTGATGGTAAAGACTCCTCTGACTCACGTTTTGTGTCCTCCCAAAATTTGTGCGTAGTGCCCCTGATACCTTCCGTAGCGTGATCGACTTCCTTGGCGATTTTGTGCGAAGCTGACTTCGCACCCTTAACTATACTCGAGAGGACTCCTTTTGATTTCTTTGATTTTTTCTCTAGCGAACTACCACGTTCTAAGGAACTTCTTGCTGAGCTTGATTCTGAGCTTGCAGATTGGTACTTTGATTCTGATGGACTTGATCTTCTGTGCTGATCTTCTGGTTGGGATGCTGTGTTTTGTGCGTCTTCTAGGAACATCGAAGTCACAATTTTGGAATCTGGTAGTGCTACTGATGCGTCGACTTCCGTAGTGGGCTTTGTGGGACTCGTTTCTCTGGAAGTTTCTGTCGTGACTTTAGTGACATCCTTGGGTACGCCGTCTGCAGTGTGTTTTCCTCCTTTGAAGACTCCCGAGAAAAAGCCACTGGTTTTCTCCTTGGCCTTCTTGCCACCCTTTGCAGTTTTGTCTTTCACGACTTTGGCCGTATCAGCGACAGCTTCCGCACCTGCAGTGACTTTCTCTTTTACAATTTTAGTGTCTTCTTTGACTTCCTTGGTTACGGTATCCTTGACACCTTTGGCACCATCGGCTACCTTGTGAGCAGTGTCCTTGGCTCCTTCTACTATGGCTGCGGCGCCTTTTGACACCTTCCCAGCGGCCACTGTTGCAGCGTCGGAGACCGCGTCGCGACCGGCGGTGACTTTCTCATCCGTCTGGTCCTTCGCCTTTTTGGAAGCATCTGCGACCTTCTGCGCATCCTTGGAAATTTCTTTGGAAATTCTCTCCTTGGTGTCTTTCAGACCTACCAGGGTTTCATCCTTCGCATCTTCTGCTTCCTTGGCAGCTTCCTCTGCGGCACGTCTTACACGCTCCTCTTCTTCAGCAGCTTCCTGTTTTGTTTCATCCCAGAACTCTTTGACCTCTTCGGTAACTTCGTCTACGGCGTGTTTAGCTCCCTTCAAGATACCCGATAAGAAGCCGCTACCCTTTTCTTTAGCTTTCTTGGCTTCTTCGGCTGTTTTATCCTTTGCTGCCTCTGCAGTATCAGCTACTGACTCAGCTCCAGATACTAACTTCTCTTTTACAATCTTTGTGTCTTCTTTAATCTCCTTGGTTACCTTATCCTTTGCGCTTTTGGTACTATCTGCTACTTTTTGGGATGCATCTTTTACTCCCTCTGCTACTGCAGTTGCGGCTTTGGCTGTCTTCTCACCAGCAGCGTCCTTAGCAGTTTTAGTACCATCTGCCACTTTTTGGGATGCATCCTTTAGTCCCTCTGCTACTGCAGTTGCGGCTTTGGCTGTCTTCTCACCAGCAGCTTTGGTAGTATCCACCACGGCATCGCGAGCAGACGCAACTTTCCCAACTGCAGCGTCCTTCACAGATTTCGCAGTGTCTACGACCTGGTCCTTCGCATCTTTGATGTCAGCAGCCGCCTTGTCTTTGGCATCTTTGGCGGACTTAGCTGCATCCTCAGCTGCTCGACGAGCGCGTTCACCTTCTTCCTCGGCTTCTTTACGTGTTTCATCTAAGAAGTCCTTGGCATCAGCAGTGACTTCATCGGCAGTTTGCTTGGCACCTTTGAAAATGCCTGATAAGAATCCTCCGGTCTTTTCTTTAGCCTTCTTGGCTTCCTTGGCTGCCTTGTCTTTCGCAGCTTCTGTAGTCTCGGCTACAGCCTCTGCACCAGCCTTGACCTTATCCTTAGCCTTCTTGGCCTCTTTCGCAGCCTTGTCCTTTGCAGCCTCGGCTGTATCAGCCACGGCTTCTGCACCAGCTTTCGCAGCTTCTGTAGTCTCGGCTACAGCCTCTGCACCAGCCTTGACCTTATCCTTAGCCTTCTTGGCCTCTTTCGCAGCCTTGTCCTTTGCAGCCTCGGCTGTATCAGCCACGGCTTCTGCACCAGCCTTCGCTTTGTCCTTGAGGATCTTAGTGTCTTCCTTCACCTCCTTGGTTACTGCATCCTTTGCGCCTTTGGCGCCGTCGGCGACTTTTTGGGACGCATCCTTTACACCCTCAACTGCAGCTTCCGCTCCCTTTGCTACTTTGTCCCCGGCAGATTTAGCAGTGTCCACTACGGCATCCTTAGCAGAAGCCAACTTCTCCTTGGACTGATCCTTTGCGGATTTAGTAGCATCGACTACAGCCTGGACATCTTCGGACACTTCCTTGCTGACTTTATCCTTTGTATCCTTCAAGTCCTTCGCAGCTTTCTCAGCAGCCCGTCTAGCACGCTCCTCCTCTTCGGTCGCTTCCTGCTTCGTTTCGTCCCAAAATTCCTTGGCTTCATCCGTTACTTCCTCGACTGCATGCTTGGCACCTTTCAAAATCCCTGTGAAAAAGCCACTACTTTTGTCTTTTGCTTTCTTTGCTTCTTTCGCTGCCTTATCCTTGGCAGCTTCTGCTGTCTCAACTGCAGCTTCAGCACCAGCTTTGGCTTTCTCTTTTACAATCTTTGTGTCTTCTTCAATCTCCTTGGTTACCTTATCTTTTACGTTTTTGGTACCATCTACTACTTTTTGGGATGCATCCTTCACTCCCTCTGCTACTGCAGTTGCGGCTTTGGCTGTCTTCTCACCAGCAGCTTTGGTAGTATCCACCACGGCATCGCGAGCAGACGCAACTTTCCCAACTGCAGCGTCCTTCACAGATTTCGCAGTGTCTACGACCTGGTCCTTCGCATCTTTGATGTCAGCAGCCGCCTTGTCTTTGGCATCTTTGGCGGACTTAGCTGCATCCTCAGCTGCTCGACGAGCGCGTTCACCTTCTTCCTCGGCTTCTTTACGTGTTTCATCTAAGAAGTCCTTGGCATCAGCAGTGACTTCATCGGCAGTTTGCTTGGCACCTTTGAAAATGCCTGATAAGAATCCTCCGGTCTTTTCTTTAGCCTTCTTGGCTTCCTTGGCTGCCTTGTCCTTTGCAGCCTCGGCTGTATCGGCTACAGCCTCTGCACCAGCCTTCGCTTTGTCCTTGAGGATCCTAGTGTCTTCCTTCACCTCCTTGGTTACTGCATCCTTTGCGCCTTTGGCGCCGTCGGCGACTTTTTGGGACGCATCCTTTACACCCTCAACTGCAGCTTCCGCTCCCTTTGCTACTTTGTCCCCGGCAGATTTAGCAGTGTCCACTACGGCATCCTTAGCAGAAGCCAACTTCTCCTTGGACTGATCCTTTGCGGATTTAGTAGCATCGACTACAGCCTGGACATCCTCTGAGACTTCCTTGCTGACTTTATCCTTTGTATCCTTCAAGTCCTTCGCAGCTTTCTCGGCAGCCCGTCTAGCACGCTCCTCCTCTTCGGTCGCTTCCTGCTTCGTTTCGTCCCAGAATTCCTTGGCTTCATCCGTTACTTCCTCGACTGCATGCTTAGCACCTTTCAAAATCCCTGTGAAAAAGCCAGTACTTTTGTCTTTTGCTTTCTTTGCTTCTTTCGCTGCCTTATCCTTGGCAGCTTCTGCTGTCTCAACTGCAGCTTCCGCACCAGCTTTGGCTTTCCCCTTTACCATCTTGGCATCTTCTTTAACTTCTTTGCTGACGGCATCCTTAGCATCTGCTGCCCCCTCTGCGAGTTTTTGCGTGGTATCCTTTACACCTTCAACAACTGCAGTAGCACTTTTAGCAGTTTTATCGGTAACCGATTTTGCAGCATCTACAACTACATCGCAACCAGTCACAACCTTGTCAATAGTTTTATCCTTCGCTGTTTTACTAGCCTCCGCAGCTTTTTTCACGTCTTCACTAATTGTCTTGGAAATTCTTGTAGTTCTCTCCTCAATTCCAAACGTGGCTTTATCCTTTGCATCCTTTAAATCCTCTGCTGCATTGTCAGCAGCGTCTTTAGTACTCGTTGCAGCATCTTCGGCAGTTCGTCTTGCACGCTCTGCCTCGTCTGTAGCTTCATGTTTCGTCTCGTCCCAAAATTCTTTGGCCTCGTCGGTCACCTCCTCGACGACGTGTTTTGCCCCCTTGAAGATCCCGGATAAGAACCCTCCACTTTTGTCCTTGGCTTTTTTGGCTTCCTTTGCAGCTTTATCTTTAGCTACCTCAGCAGTGTCAGCTACAGCATCTGCGCCAGTTGTGACCTTGTCTTTGATGATCTTAGTATCTTCCTTAATTTCTAGGCTGACTGCATTTTTAGCATCCTTAGCACCATCGGCTATTTTGTGCGCAGTATCCTTTGTTCCTTCTACAACTGCTGATGTACCTTTGGACACTTTGTCAGTAACCGCTTGTGCAGCATCCAATACAGCATCTTTAGCAGCTTTGGTCGTGTCACCAACCTTCTGCATATCATCGGATAGTTCTTTAGATACCTTATCTTTAGCATCTTTTATTCCGGTGGCAGTTTTATCTTTGAGATCTTTAGCAGCTTTTGCGGCTTCCTCTGCTTCTTGTCTAGCACGTTCAGCCTCATCTGCAGCTTCTCTTCTAGTTTCGTCCAGGAAGTTCTTGACGTCATCAGTTACTTCATCTGCAGCGTGTTTGCCACCCTTGAATATTCCGGATAAGAAGCCACTGGTCTTGTCTTTAGCTTTTTTGGCTTCCTTGGCTGCCTTATCTTTTGCTGCTTCCGCAGTCTCGGCCACAGCTTCAGTACCGGCTTTCACCTTGTCTTTGACAATTTTTGTGTCCTCTTTAACTTCCTGTGCAACTGCATCCTTAGCATCTTTAGCACCATCCGCTACTTTGCGTGCTGCATCCTTGGTCCCTTCTGAAACTGCAGCTGCACCCTTTGAGACCTTTTCTCCTGCTGTTTGAGCAGCTCCAACGACTGCATCCTTGGCTGCTTTGGTGGTATCAACAACTTTCTGGGCATCTTTAGAAATTTCCTTTGAAACTTTATCTTTTACATCAGCTAAACCTGCAGCTGCTTTGTCCTTTGCATCTTCTGCATCCTTAGCAGCTTTCTCAGCTGCAAGTCGTGCACGCTCTTCTTCTTCAGCTGCTTCCTGTTTGGTTGCATCCCATAATTCCTTAGCTTCATCAGTAACTTCATCAGCTGCGTGTTTAGCACCTTTGAAAATGCCTGAGAAGAATCCACCAGCCTTATCTTTAGCTTTCTTGGCTTCCTTCGCAGTTTTATCTTTTGCTGTCTCTGCAGTATCAGCCACAGATTCAACGCCAGCTTTTACTTTTTCTTTTACGATTTTACTGTCCTCTTTCACTTCGTCGGCTATTGCGTCCTTAGCAGTTTTAGTACCATCTGCCACTTTTTGGGATGCATCCTTTAGTCCCTCTGCTACTGCAGTTGCGGCTTTGGCTGTCTTCTCACCAGCAGCTTTGGTAGTATCCACCACGGCATCGCGAGCAGACGCAACTTTCCCAACTGCAGCGTCCTTCACAGATTTCGCAGTGTCTACGACCTGGTCCTTCGTATCTTTGATGTCAGCAGCCGCCTTGTCTTTGGCATCTTTGGCGGACTTAGCTGCATCCTCAGCTGCTCGACGAGCGCGTTCACCTTCTTCCTCGGCTTCTTTACGTGTTTCATCTAAGAAGTCCTTGGCATCAGCAGTGACTTCATCGGCAGTTTGCTTGGCACCTTTGAAAATGCCTGATAAGAATCCTCCGGTCTTTTCTTTAGCCTTCTTGGCTTCCTTGGCTGCCTTGTCTTTCGCAGCTTCTGTAGTCTCGGCTACAGCCTCTGCACCAGCCTTGACCTTATCCTTAGCCTTCTTGGCCTCTTTCGCAGCCTTGTCCTTTGCAGCCTCGGCTGTATCAGCCACGGCTTCTGCACCAGCCTTCGCTTTGTCCTTGAGGATCTTAGTGTCTTCCTTCACCTCCTTGGTTACTGCATCCTTTGCGCCTTTGGCGCCGTCGGCGACTTTTTGGGACGCATCCTTTACACCCTCAACTGCAGCTTCCGCTCCCTTTGCTACTTTGTCCCCGGCAGATTTAGCAGTGTCCACTACGGCATCCTTAGCAGAAGCCAACTTCTCCTTGGACTGATCCTTTGCGGATTTAGTAGCATCGACTACAGCCTGGACATCTTCGGACACTTCCTTGCTGACTTTATCCTTTGTATCCTTCAAGTCCTTCGCAGCTTTCTCAGCAGCCCGTCTAGCACGCTCCTCCTCTTCGGTCGCTTCCTGCTTCGTTTCGTCCCAAAATTCCTTGGCTTCATCCGTTACTTCCTCGACTGCATGCTTGGCACCTTTCAAAATCCCTGTGAAAAAGCCACTACTTTTGTCTTTTGCTTTCTTTGCTTCTTTCGCTGCCTTATCCTTGGCAGCTTCTGCTGTCTCAACTGCAGCTTCAGCACCAGCTTTGGCTTTCTCTTTTACAATCTTTGTGTCTTCTTCAATCTCCTTGGTTACCTTATCTTTTACGTTTTTGGTACCATCTACTACTTTTTGGGATGCATCCTTCACTCCCTCTGCTACTGCAGTTGCGGCTTTGGCTGTCTTCTCACCAGCAGCTTTGGTAGTATCCACCACGGCATCGCGAGCAGATGCAACTTTCCCAACTGCAGCGTCCTTCACAGATTTCGCAGTGTCTACGACCTGGTCCTTCGTATCTTTGATGTCAGCAGCCGCCTTGTCTTTGGCATCTTTGGCGGACTTAGCTGCATCCTCAGCTGCTCGACGAGCGCGTTCACCTTCTTCCTCGGCTTCTTTACGTGTTTCATCTAAGAAGTCCTTGGCATCAGCAGTGACTTCATCGGCAGTTTGCTTGGCACCTTTGAAAATGCCTGATAAGAATCCTCCGGTCTTTTCTTTAGCCTTCTTGGCTTCCTTGGCTGCCTTGTCCTTTGCAGCCTCGGCTGTATCGGCTACAGCCTCTGCACCAGCCTTCGCTTTGTCCTTGAGGATCCTAGTGTCTTCCTTCACCTCCTTGGTTACTGCATCCTTTGCGCCTTTGGCGCCGTCGGCGACTTTTTGGGACGCATCCTTTACACCCTCAACTGCAGCTTCCGCTCCCTTTGCTACTTTGTCCCCGGCAGATTTAGCAGTGTCCACTACGGCATCCTTAGCAGAAGCCAACTTCTCCTTGGACTGATCCTTTGCGGATTTAGTAGCATCGACTACAGCCTGGACATCCTCTGAGACTTCCTTGCTGACTTTATCCTTTGTATCCTTCAAGTCCTTCGCAGCTTTCTCGGCAGCCCGTCTAGCACGCTCCTCCTCTTCGGTCGCTTCCTGCTTCGTTTCGTCCCA